TTATGAAGAGCGTGATCTAAGATTTGTCGTCAACATAATGTGAAGATATAGCCGCAGCAAATAGCTAGCATGCTAGTTATGTACAAAATTTTTTAAGTGTAACAAGCGGTTGAAATGTTACTCAGCGTTCATTTTTTAAATACTCGATATCTAGCTGACCAATACCTGAATATTATTAATGTACTGTCATACGCGAATCTAACGTGTTAGGATGCAATGATATATTATTTTTACAACTATTGGAAGGCAGTTTTTAAGTGACACGCAATCATCGGTCAACTCAGGGTTGAGTGAACAAGGTGTTAAATTCATTGGCAATTTGATCATACTTATTTTTGCTATGAATCTTCCATGTGTACTTCCACGTGTTTAATATTTTCATAATCTCAGTTTGTTATACAAGTATGTCAAGTATCTGCACTTTCTTACTGTTGACAGCCTGTCGAGCATCCTCACGGTGGTGGTAATCATCAACATATAGGTAAACCATCTACAATTCGCCGTGATGCATCACATGGTCGCAAGGTTGGTCTAATAGCAGCTAGACGAACTGGACGTATTCGTGGTACCCGCACAATTACTTCAAAATCTGACAAGGAATAAAATAAAATAATCATGTGGTATGAAAGGCTTTTCGGCTTCACCTAATGGGTTTATTTATTAACTGTTCACTAAATTGCGTAGCACGAGTTCGTCGGGATCCTAACTATTTATCATGTACATAGTTAACTGGAAGTTTGTGGGTGTTTTAAGCATAATGCCAAAAGTTGCTTTTTCAACACCAGAACAAAGCGGTGATTGCTTAAAATTTATTGGAAGCGAAATACGCGATAATGACAAAGCGTTAGAAGAAAACAAGTTTTTTCTCTTAGAAACGATATTGATAGGAAAGCACATGGATGTCCACTTTTTCCTATGGAAAGCATCTTTGATTTCACGGAGGAATGAAACATTGGTCCTTGTGTAACATTCTACCTACCCTTAAGAAGATGTGTCTCAAATGATCATTTACGGACCCGTGTCAATCACATGTCATGCGAGACAAAAATAATGCGATGATAAACATTTTAGCTATGGCTTTAGATCCAGGTGATCGTACGTAGTTCCCGATCCTGCTAATCATTAGATATACTTTAAGGTGTTGTATTAATATGGTACGTCACTAGTTAGAAATTAAAGACGGGAAAACTCGATTTAAAATCTAGTGTGTCAAGCTACAAATTCTCTCCACAACATGAGACGTCTAAGTCATATTCCTCGCTATAGGAATTCTTTTTTCCTTAAAATACTTCCGATAGGATCCTAGTAAATCCGTTACTTGAACTTCGGATGTTTACGGTCGTCTATTGTCCATCTGCACATTAGTTTCGCAGCATGTGATCACGTTGAATCAATGAACAGTCCATACAGTTGTCATCAAATCCTACGAGAAACAGAAGCTTGTCCAAGTATCCACGTTTAATTTCGGATTGTTTGGGAGGTATCTAAAACGGATAGTTATTGTACTAGCGATCCCATCTATTCGTGGATAACACGCGGTCGTGAATCTCAGGAATGTTCGCTCTTGCTTTAGCCTATGTGTGTAACTCATCGGTTAGCTTCGTGGTTTTTCCGTTGAGACACCTCTAATCTACTAGTGGTAATGCTATTTAAATAAAATAAGTTTTCTGTGAAGCACACGACTGATGATGTTTTATACAGCACTCGATAGTAGAGTATCTCTATGTTGAATCGCTTCGTGTCCCCAAAGGGAAATGAATTTTTGCAACAGACTTCAAATCACTAGGTTATTGGTCCAAAACTAGCGTCACTAAGTGTTTGTGTCAGTCATGTATCAGTATTTGTGGCAATGCAGTAACGTGGAAATGGTTCCTTTCCTGGAATACAGGTTGGGCGATTATTGTCAAAGTACACCATGTTTAAACAGTACACTCGATCTTAGTAAGCGATGAGTTATCGTTTTGTTAAGTCATCTCTTTTTATCATCAACTTATTAAGTACATTTGTAATGTAAATATAAATCTTTGGTCTCAATATCGAACTAGTTTAATTACAGTGATAGTAGCATGTCCTTTATTTGGTTCCAACTTACCAAGTATTTTCACTGTATCTACCCTACTCTGACACCTTCATAGGACACATACTTGAACTACAATCAGTTTTCGACGAAAAGGGGAATGGCGTAAAACAACTTCATTTATTTAAAAATTCATTACCTCACCTGTAACCACCTATTTATGTAAGATGTCATTGTAGTGAAGACTAGGAGTACATTAAACTATTTTAGATTAAAAGAAAAAAATATGTAAGTACTAACGCCATTTTAAAAATCTCATCCACAGCTTAGTTTACTTTTTAGTCATTGACTTTGTTGCGAAGATAATGGCAGCAATTTGTCTTCGTGTAGCAGCCAACCCAGAAGTATCTCTTATATTCCTTTTAAATACAGATAAAATAAACAAAATATCTAGATAATATGTTTCTCAAACTGATTATAGACGAGCAATTAAAATATATATTGATACCATTTGAAGAGGAATTCGGAACTAGAGGATATTTGAGTTTCTTTAGTAATCTGCACTTCAGTTCATAATAAGCTATCTAACTCATCAGTGATCTTACTCTTACTAGGGGCCAGCTCCAAATTAGATTTTCTGGAATTTTTACTGTGGTCTGTGAAAGTAAAAGTTGAGAAAATTAGTGACTTCTGTCTGAGTATAACCTTTAATGTTTTATCTTGGGTAGTTTGGTAGTATCGTTAGTCATAATAATGTCGTCTGGTACATCTAAAAGAAAATCTTTTACGAAGCACCGATCCTTCATAATTGTATGTATTTATAGTCAAATACATAGAAGCTAATACTCTCGATAAACTGTTCGCTAACGTGCCCATGAATATTCTTGATGTTACGATTTCAATCGATTTGTGATACTGCACATTCGTTCAGAGTAGAACATGTGAAACAGTTTGCTGCCTATTGATTTAACGCTACAAAAATACTAAACTACCATTCCTATGTTTTGATTTTTGAAGTAAAACTTAATTGTAACGACCTATGAGTGTAAATTATCTAACTGAAACTAAAAACTTTAGATGAACCATCTTTCTTGTTAACGATCCGTTTATCTTACAGGGAGAATTCGAACTCACACCCACAAGTATCAACTTTAGAGTATACTACCAAAATCTCAAGCTAAGTATTGATATGATATTTGTTCGTGATTCAAATTATAACCAGTATTAGCTAAGTAGAGCATATGGTTTTGATATTGACGATAAATGAGTAATCCATGGTTTATAGATACAAAGAGCAATTTTTATGTGATTCATCCAACAGTCTATCTAATATAAATTATGTTACTGAGTAATTTCGTCTGTAAATTCTTACTTAAAGTTTTGGAAAGAACGCCTTGCCGTACCATTATTAGAATTAGAAGTCTTCGAACTTTTTGGAAGGGTACGTTTGGTAAACTGTTCAGACTTTACCGACGATGAAAATATTGGCGGTAATGAATGGCTATCTTCTTGGCTTTCATGCAAATTAGATTGTCTCTGATCTGATTCAGATTTCTTTGAGGAATTACTTAGTTTCATTAACTGATCCCTTGTTTCAGCCAATACAGAGTTTAATTCATCTCTCTCCCAACATTCTTTTTCAACTGTGGCGTAAAGTTGTTTAACCTAGAAAAACGGTGATCAGTTATTAACATTCTACAGATAGTTTAATTGATGTCTAGATAATCAAAATAGCGACAATTGATATTACTCTGTTGATGAGAATCTATCCAGCATAGCTGTCAAGCTGAGTAATACACGTTGGTGTCGGAGTATATTTGACTGATGTCGGAAAGACCTAAGCTCTAAACACTGGTTTTAAATGGGATACCCATTCAATTAACTCCGGCCCGTCCAGCCGGGTTTTATCACACTATTCCAGTGTGTAACGTAGGTCGTATACATGGATCTGTACTTATTCACTAAAACGAATTGGATTGAGGGTTTGGTAAAAGTCTTCAAACTTCCTTATTTGGGTTTTACACTTTGCAGTGCACTGTTAGACTAAATCATCTTGTTTGCTAGTCCTAATATTATAAATTGTCAATAAAATCAATTATTGTAGTGGAACGAGACGACATTGGCAAGGTACGCTATTACTCATCAAACTCTGCCAGGGAAGTCCTACTCACTGCTTTCTCGTGGCGGGGGTGTTCTTTACGAAAATGAGAGGACGAAAAGCGTATGTCTAGCGCTTTAACCAGATTCCAAACTAATGGTGCATATGGGCTCCAGTATCATGCGGGAACAAGTGGCGTGTGAACTAATTGTTGGTCACCGGCTTCCATGGGACTGCATCTCCTGACGATGCTCCACCGCCTTGTGGATCAGATCCTCAGGTCGCAGGCTCGAGGTGTGGCCCCCTAAGAAAACCACCTGCTTCGGTTTGGGCACCCGGGCAGTATCACAGCCCTCACACATCGAATGAGATTTGTGTGGTGCATATGTATTTGATGCCCATTTGTACAAATATCTGTGTTGAAATAAATAAAGTAATAAGTTCCAACATACCCTCAGTATCACATTCAGATGTATTAGACCCCATATTTCAAGACGATAACAAAGATTAGATAGGTTCTGAAGAACATATGTGTCTAATATCCTAGCTAACTCCTTAGGCAATCAAACGCTGAGAGTAGTTCGAATCAAGTGTAAATTTTGGAGATTATTTCTTGTTTTAATCAAATGAAGATGAAAAAGAAATTAGTGAGACTACATGATCAATGCTGTATGTGTCTTGATTACATTTTATAACAGTCAATTTTGAGTGATATTCAGTGAGACTGTGATTAAATAGTGTAACTGAAACTAGTTGATGAGATTGACTATTCTCATGTGAATTACCAAGTGTCTGCAAACTGCGATGTTTTATGTCAAATGTACATCAAAATAAATAATTCTTTGAGTAATATTTCTCTAACAATGGAAGAATCGGAGACTACACAAAGAACATTTATTTATACTTAAAATAGGATAGTTTATCTTTTGATTATAGTACTCTTCAGAATCATTCACCCATAACTCGTTCGTTGTTTATAGTGAGGAACCTGAGGATAATCTTCAAGCATTTATAATCACAGTGGTGACCAATAACATGTTTTCCTAGTCTTTTAATGCTGAGCGAATTTTATCGATCAAACTACAGTGTGTCCACTGGTAGGTTGTTGAAATTCGTGCGCTCCTTGTTAATAAATTAGGTCGGTGGATAACTTTAGGAGTAGGCTTCATGCTGCTTTGGACTTGTCAACAGTCGTTGTATGCAGTGTTAATAGAAGTGGTTTTCCCTATAGGATTCAGATCTATACCACCCAGCTTCACCGTTTGAGACGTTACCACTGATATATTTGTGCAGCGACCGACCTAAGTTTCATCAAGATTTCAATCACATCTTGTTGATGAGTGCTATCTAGCGTAAAATCTAGTTTCAGAGATTCCTGCTGACTATGTCCGGAAATCAAATTTGATCCACTTACTAATTTTTCGTTTTAGTTCTTAAGTAATATGCGGTGTGAAACAACCTTTAAAACAAATTCCTGATTGTGGAACTCCACTTGCGATTATCTTAATTAATAAAAAATACTTATGACGAGGTTCCTAACTTCTTGTTGATATCTTTGGATTTGATTTTCGAGTTCTCCTCGAACGGAATCCGAATTGTTCACGCTATTAGTCAATTGGTTAATTTCCTCTTTCATCGTTTCCATAATACGACGATGTTCTTCTTGCAAGACAATGTTTTCTCTTTCTTAAAGAATAAAAACAATAAAATGAATTTTTATAAAGGAAAAACACTCATACTTGTTATTACTATTAGTATTCTAAGTAGCAATAAGAGTAGTTATTTGAAACAAGCAAATATTTCCTGCATAAATGTAAGCGTTTGAATTGTCAACTAATAAAATCTCACTGTGGACTGGAACTGACCCTACGAATGTTCACTAAAAAGCAAAGCAATCCAATCCTAATTACAGCTTGATTGGTTATGCATAACTTGAAACTAGTTAAATTTTTGGATCAGACCAATTTATGGACTGCCTTCAAGTGACGCTAAAATGAACTTGAGGCTGTCCACCTACTTACTAGGGCTAAATGAGAGTTATAAACCAGTGTGAGGAATTAGGATTATGATTTACTATTGATGGTTAGGGCTAGTAATTAGATCTAAGGTTCGCATTAGCTAAAATGACAAAATTCTATTTAACCGAAAACGTGAATGAATTTCGCGCCAAAATCCAAAACTTATGCATAAGTTATAATCACACCGATTTTTGTTTCAAACTCTGATGGTTATAAATATCTAATTTACCCAATATTAATTGTTGAAGAGTTTTTTAGTTAGCAATAAGCAACGGTGCATGGCTTTCTATTTTCCAGTGTTTAGTAATAAAAAAATTTCATATTGTAATTCGTGAAGTGAAATGTTGTGTGATTGCGTGAATTCATGTTTAAACATTCCCATTGGATGATTCTTTAAAAATATGTAAGAAGTGATAGTAGCTACTGACTGAATTGCTAGTAAAAGACTGCATAACTAACTATCAAATAAGGCATAATTTTACTTGTAAAAAAGTCATACTTCCAAATGAAATAGTAACTCAGTATTGAATATAATTAACATTTATTCAAAATCGAAATGATCGTAGAGTACGGGGAGTTAGTCTATTACATAGCAAATAAGGTAAAATGGATACTAAGATTAATTTTTGCCCACAATCTTGTTGATGAAACATAATTTTAACATTAACTTGGTCATAATGCTACATTTCTATGAATTTAATTAGTGCATTTTTTGTACAAATTCAATTAAAGTTGAACAATTAATAAAAGAAATGAACTGAAACCATACAATAGATATGGCTGTATAATACATCAATTGTCATTGTGTGTGTATATTTGAATAAGTGATACGCTCTATTATGTCTAGAAGTAAGTCTTAATCTATGGACTAAACAAAATGACAGAAACATTAAAACTAACGCTGTTTTGAATACTAGTCTTCTTATTGATTTATTTGTTTAATACCTACACATTCTAGTACAACTGTTCACCAACAAAACATGTAATCCACAACGCAGTGGATCAACGTTAGGTGATACAGTCCCATGATAACCGGTGACCGACAGTATGTTCATACGCCATTTCTTCCCTCAGAATCCTGGGTCCCGTATGCACCATGGGTTTAGAATTGGGGATTTCCAGCTCCCCTATATGGACCGACGACCAGGTTAAGACACCGGATGTTCGCTTTTTGTCCTCTCAATTTCGTAAACAACACCCCTCCACGAGAAGGCGGTGAGTAGGTCTGCCCTGGCAGTGGCTGAATACGTGAGACCATGTGAGGGCAATTCGGGAGGAAGAGCTGACCCTCCCCACTCTCGGTCGCACCAGGGTGCTCGGAAACACATTCCTTAACCTCACTAGTACGAATATTTTATTGTCACGGGATGTCAGCAATATTTTGGTCGAACACAGAGAATGTCTCAAGATCACTAATTTGTAGAGGCCTTAATTCACAAGCACTGAAAAATCTTCACTGACCGATGTATTGTAAACCGAATCTTTTAAACCTGGAATAATCTCAAGATGGCTTTTCCTCTGTCTACGTCATATAAAAACGATGTTATCATCAATTCTGTATATTCCTTGACATAATCAATCTCAAACACAAAGTAGTTTTGAAAATCTAGGAATATCCAGAAATCCTTTTTTTTTAAATCGTATTAACAAATGAGTCTGTTAGATGATTACCGGAATTTTAAATTGCTAATTATTTTTATACGTAAATATACCATTACTATTTGTTCAAACTACCTAAAAGAAATTTGTAACGAGTCAGTAGAGTCAATTTTCCGGTGCAACGGCTAGAGATATTGTTCAGATTGAAATAGGTAGAGTGAAGTTCAAAGTTGTCACCCCCCTTGTTTGGCTATGATTTTCTTATAAATTTAAACACCATCCGATCCAAAACAATCTAAACACTAAAATAATACTGTTCCTCTTCTACTTTAAGCCGTTACAATCACTTAGCATCTGTACGAGAAAGTTAATTCGCAACACTATTGAAAGTTATGTGGAAATCATAATTTCATAAATAGTAGAAGTTATTATTTACGACTAAATATTGTCAAACATGGCTCAGTATAGAAACCAATGAGAATTCTGTTGTAGTCTGTATTTATATTCATCATAAAAGTGAAAGAAAGATCTTTAGCTAAAAGAATTCCTGGTTGTATTTGTTTAGGATTATAATATATTGTCGTTCATTTATTTCTACTCATTTATTTACTTGATAATGCCTCTTCTCCTTTCTCTACCTTCTTCATAATCTCATTTTCTTGTTTGTTTGGCGTATACTTATTTTGATCTTCATTTTTACCTAAATTTATGTGTTTAAATAGGCAGTTGTCCACTACAAAATACATATCATCATTGACTGTATTGTGTTGTATGAGTTCGATAGTTTAATTGAGAAGCTTCTGTTTTATTCTGAACAACATTATCATGCAGAAGAATGATAATGAATGCTTTGTAGTTAAACTACCGAGTTCAGACAATATTCTCAATACAATGAAACACATCCACCTCAATTATAAATCTTAATACATAGTTATTATCAAAACAAGTATAAAATGATCATCCATAAGAACTCGATATTTTGTTGGATTGAATATAACTGGCAAAATGTTGGTCATACTATTGCAAACATGAAAATGTATAATTAGGAATTATATCTCTCTGAAAATAATCGTTTTATTGTACCTCATTAAACTGCAAACATTGTTCAAAAAATAAAATAAAATCACTAACCTTTTTGTTTAAGTTCTGATGTCAGTTGTTCAATTATTCGATTTGTTTGACTTTTAATTTGTTGTAATTCCAGTTCTTTTTTCTCGAATGATAATTTGAATTCTTTCTCTAATGTCAACTCCTATGACAATTCCAAAACAAAACAAAAATTAATTCAGTTGAATAATCTTTCTAAAACGTTTGGTTTGGTGTTAAGTAGCTGAAGGAACTCATCAGAAAAATTCTTCTTGACCTAAATTTCTTGGTAGTTAGAACTTGTCAGCATGGCGTAAACGTAATTTTGTGGAAATGGGTGCTCCCTTGTAGATACAAACTTAAGTCACCTAGTTTCAAAGTTTCAAGTTATATGTACCATTGGGTTATTCAAGCTACTGATCGAATTCTACCTATCGATAGATAAAATCAGTGGTTGGATTTAGATCACTCCAATTACTGCTTTTAACTGTGATTGATAATTGAAAATGGTTATTTGTTAACTACTCTTATTGGGTCTTTTAACCTCATCTGTTTTTTGAAGCTATTTTGGTACATGGTCAGTCATCGTAACTTGATAAACTCAATCTTCTCATTCTATTATCAGAATTATAAATTAAATGAAACACTAGACACTACACAATGCATCAAACAACGATTATCTCCCAGATATATTTCCAGTAAAAAATCATTACCAGTGATATCAACCAAATATAAAACATGAGAATGACTAAACGTTGATGTCAAACATTGGATTGCGTTTTATCACAATGAACTTGAAAGTGAAAACTAGGAAAATTTCAACCCAGAGATCTAAAGAGATTATGAAGTGTACATATCTAGGTCACTTTGTTATTTGACCCACGTTTATAAATTTGTCAACAGACTTACTGAGGAACTTCATGTCTAGATAGTTTTGTTGCAGATGAGCACAATTTGAATGCAACCGAATAAAACAAACTATTCGGTGGTATAATCGATATTTAATTTGAATTTCTAGCCCCTACTATAGACGGTATGAGATGACAAATACAGATCAAAGTTGTTTGTATCTTTGCTGATGTTTCGTTGCCTAAAATAGTGTCAGGAGTTATTTAAACAAACTAATTGGTCAATACAGTCAACTACATTGACAACTATTCATTAAAGTGAATAACAAAATAGGTTGGTTCCGAAAAATTTAACCTGTATTTGCCAGATAAAAAGTAAGTCTCAAAGTTTCTAGTTTGTATTCGAGATTTCCAGAAGATTTAAAGTATTATCAGAATGGAGTTTTGCCTCACCTACTCCAAGTGTATAGTTGGATCTTCGGAAAATTAGAAGTAATCAAAGTCAATATTAATAATATGCGTTTAACAAATTTCAACAAATGCCTTGAAATCTATTACACACACGTCACATATATTTTTTCTCAAAGGATGACTATTCATGAATTCGCTAAAATATAAATAAAATAGCTGTGTTCTACTCGAATTTTATAAGTATCTGTTGGAGTGATACAGAAAATTTCTTGCAAAAGAGAAGCAAGGATAAGGAAACACTAAGAAGCGTTTCATCCAGTCAGCGTTCGCTTGAAGTTTTAGCCAAAAATACCAAAGTGGAACGTCACACGCAGAGGTTCTGATTGGTTGATTGCCATACTGCTACTATGTTTAGTAGCATTCCATAATCTACGAGCAACCCAAGCACATTTAAAAATATTATAAAAACTCTATATTTTCTGTGTTAAAATGAACCTTGGAGTAAAGTATTTCTCGCATACTTTGCATCCTCTCTCTCGTTGTTCAGGTCGCTGTATAGTTCTAGCTTGAGGGTTACAGAATAGCTTAGGGAACGAATATAGTGTTCAGTTTGCAAGACTTGTCAGTATCATCACATTGCTTTTCTGGTACCGGTAAACCTCAAATATAAGGATAAATATTTAGTCAATACTGAATATTAAAATAAAATTATATAAGCAAACATATGCAGGGTCAGTGGTCTAAAGGTTAAACATTCACAGCCAATAACGAAGATCACATATTCGATCCTTTGTAGTGGGATCATAGATCCCGCTGTTGAAGAGCCTCATACTGGAATGAGACAACTTTCCATTATTTCTTGGTTTCCAATGATAGTCTAACTATGATCAGTTCGTGAATTAAGCTAGAGAAACACTACAACTTCTATAAATCTCACTATACTGATAAATATATTAGTTTACTTTATTATACTGTTGAACATTGAATTCTTTTTCCATTTCTTGAAGTTTAATTTCCAATTGTCGATGTATTTCATTTTGTGAATCTCTTGATGGACAGAACACAAAATAAAAAACAAGGAATGATTATCATTAAAATCTCTTAAAAAAGAAAGAGTTATTATTTTGTAAGGGAAATAACTGTTCAATTGAATTATAAGTAACAAAGACAGTGACAAAAATGCATATTCATCTAGGTGATTGTGAGATTGAAATTAGAATCAAAAGAGAGTCACAATTGATTTTTAATCATTAGGTTATTCATAATTATGAATGTGAATAGTTGGTTTTCAAAGACTGAATGTTAGCGAGTATAACCTAAAACAAAAAAAAAAACAGAGTGCTATGATGAAATTATATGGAATCCTATTATATAGATAAATGCCCTGGTACGACCGAGAGTGAGAGAGTTTCCTCTCCCTCTCCAAATGATCACACATGGCCACGTGTATATAGCCTTTGCCAGGGAAGTCCTACTCACTGCTTTCTAGTGGCATTACTGTTGTTTACGAAATCGAGAGTACGAAAAGCGAATATTTGGCGCTTTAACCGGGTTGGTGGACATTAAGAGTTCACCTAGGGGAGTTGGAAAACCCTAATTCCAAATCAATGCTCCACATGGGCTCCAGTATCCTAAGGGAATAAATGGCGTATCGTTCAATTATTGGTCACCGGCTACCATGGGAGTGCATGTCCTTATGATGCTCCACTACCTTGTGGATCATACCTTTAAGTCGAAGGCTCCGGATGTGGCCCCCTAAGAAAACCACCTGCTTCGGTTTGGGCACCCGGGCAGTATCACAGCCCTCATACAGATCAAATATGTATCTGGTGCCCCCTTGTACCAGTATTTATGTGTTCAAATAAATAACATGAATAAAATAACTGTTTAGAGTTAGATAATTGAAGGTGATTAGCAGAAAGTCGTATACATACCTATTTTTATTGCACTATTTTAAGAGAATCAATATTTCGCTAGGAAATTTAAAAATATCACTTAGTAACACTTTGAAATTGAACATTTAAGGCTCTGACTAATTTCTATTTTCAACAAAATGATAGACGTAACCTCTAATTAAATGTTTTAACTTACAAAGTATTAAGTGTCGAACTGATCATCATATCAATAAACAAAGTACATAAAAACAGGTTTCATGTAGATAAACTTGGTTAATCTAGTGAAATTGAATTTTCCACTAACTGTTTGGAATTCCTGTGAACAGATGTCATTTTGCAAACACTTTCTTTCTAAAATATTACTTGTGTAAATTTGGATAGTTGACAGGTCAGATTCCGTATGTACCGGTCGTGCACAGACCAAATTCTAACACTATGGATCACTAACTTGGATTAATTTTAATTTGGTTATTTATTCTCTAAAGAAGTGACGAAGTCACGAAACGTCAGAAAATCCAATTTTCTACTCATTGGGATATTACAAATATATTATTTTTATTTACTATGAATCACTGTTGAAAAAGCAGTTGCATAGAATTCGTCACTATACATCAAATTCCTTGATTATGAGGAGATGTTTGACAGTGTGGATAGGAGGACCTTATGGAACCGTCTTAAAAACTGTGGTGTACCTGAGAAAATCGTCAACATCATATGAAATTCATACGACGGAATAGACTGTAAAGTTGTGAATGTAGGACAGCTAACAGATGCATTCCAAGTGAAGATCGGAGTCATACAGGGCTGTTTACTCTCTCCCATTCTGTTTCTTCTGGTGGTTGACTGGATTATAAAAACCTCGACATCTGACAGCAAGCTCGTAATACAATGGAAAGCTAGACGATTCGGACTTCACAGATGACGTGTTCTCTCTATCTTATACACACGATTAAATGCAGATGAAAACAATTAGTGTAGCAACAGCAGACTCTGAGTCAGTAGGCTTCAACATGTACAGCCCTAAATACAACACGGAGAACATCATCCCAGTCACACTTGATAGAAAAACTCTGGAAGAGGTGGAAACTTTCACGTACCTGGTCAGCAGCATCATCGATGAACAAAGAGGATCTGATGCAGGTGTAAAGGTAAGGGTTGTAAGAACATCTGGAATTTAAAACATCTATCAAACAATATCGAAGTCACAATCTTCAATAAGAATGTTCTACTGTATGGAAATGAAACTTGGAGAAATACTACAACCATCATCAAAAAAGAAAAAGTATTTATAAACAACTGTATACGTAAGATACTCAATGTCTGTTGACCAGATGCCATCAGCAACAACCTACTGTGGAAGATAATAAATCAGCCTCCAGCTGAGAAAATTAGGAAAATTCGTTGGAGGTTGGTAAAATATACATTACAGAAATAATCAAACTGCATCATGAAGCAGGCGCTAACTTGGAATCGTGAAGGGAAATGAAAAACAGGAAGACCAAGTAACACATGTCGGGAAACAGAAGCAGATATGAAAAGGATAAATAGCAACTGGAAAGTATTGCCCAGGACAGGTTTGGATGTAGAGTATTGGCGGGCGACCTATTCTCCTTCACGAGGTGTAACATCAGTAAGTAAAAGTAGATGATGTTTTGATCAGAGTTTGGTGGAAGTTTTTCACAATAGAACAATCGAAATATTGCTTAAGTTACACTATGGTGACAATATAGAAAGTTGAACTTGTCATTATTTTCCTGTGATGAGTATCATCAACGAAGTTCGTTTAATTGTAGAAACAAACAGTAAATACTGAGGAATTATCAGCTAGTAAACTTGAATTTAAAACAGTTTACATATATCTACTTTTGAGTTAGTCATAAACGTCTCCTTTTTTTTCAGTTACCGTAAGACTGGAAGTTTAGAGCTGATTTCAGCTCCATTCACACATATCAGTGCACACTTTTCAGTACTAAACAAAGGCGAAACGTCGATCTAATTCTCCATGATGTTTCGTCAGTTAATATTAATTTTGGGTAAAAGTCAACTTAAAAAGTGTGATATATAATTGTAAAAAAAATTGAAAATCCTTGTTGAAAAAACAGAGTAACTTACTTGATGGTCTTTAACTCAAATATCTCTTGTTTACTAGTCTCCAATGCTGAATTCAACTGATCATTCATTTCTAGATAAAATTCAAACGTTAAGCATTATTCAAATAATACGCACTTAAAATTAGGAGTAAACTCTGTACATTTTCATACACTGTTGTATTACGTCTATCATGGATAGAGACGAATAAAATTCATTAGTTGAAATCATGAGTCAATTGAATATAGAACACCATGGAAAACCTGGAAGCACTGGATGGCCATTTCGTCCTATTTTGTGACTCTTCAGCAATGAGCATCTAGGGTCCTGCCTTATGAGGTTCGAACCCAGAAACTTCCAGTCTTAAGCGCGAGCGCTTAACCACTAGATCACTGACCTGGCCGGCATCCAACGGTGTAAATGTCTAACTTCGACTAATCCACGAAATTGAGCGACACATTTACCATTGTCTTCAGTGAGCTGATATCTCACAACGGACCTGATTGGACTCCATTGGTCATAGCTTCTCACTGGAACTCCAGGAGTGTCGCTTGAAGTCAGTCACTAGTGAGCAGTTGATTATTATGAGAAGGGGTTTTGTGGAGATTTTAGAAATTTTACTAGTTGAAATCATGAGTCAATTGAAGCTAGACCACCATGGAAAACCTGGGAGCATTGGACGGCCGTTTCGTCCTAGTATGGAACCCCTCACCAGTGCGCATCCACAGAAGCTAAACAGAAATAGGCTCATTAAGTTCTTTTTAGCGAAGTGGTATGTTTTCAAACGCACATCAACCAAAGAACTGCCAAAAACTAGAAAGTCTGTGAAATTATAGTTCATGGACGAACCGATCAGGTATACGATAACAGGTCTTCCATTTTGGCCCGAAATATATTCATCCATTTGGATTAGTAGAGTTCTGGCCTTATAGCTTATACCAGTTCGTGATAAAAACCATAAATTTAATTCCTAACCTTAACCATCAACTGTAAATCGTAATTCAAATTACTCACACTAATTAAATATACGCCCTTGAGGTCCCTTTAGCTCCTCTCAAATGTCGTCCATTAAATAGTGTTTAATGACACTCTCCTTTTCGAAGTGATTTTACAAAAATTATTTTAAATTGATTTAAGGTTATGATGAAGAAATTTAAAAAACTAAACAAATTTATTTAACCTTTTAAACTGTTTATCATGTGTAATCAATTTTTCTAATGCGATTAACTTAATATATTAAATATTCAACCTCCGACCAATGGAATGTTGGCCCAAACTCCATCACTTACAATCAAGTGTAACTTTACCAAGTAACTGAATTGGTGAGACTATAATTTATGGACGATCTTTGAGCAATGCTAGACTGGCCTTAGGAGTGTCCACTTAATAACTGTTGTAACGGGTGACTGCAGGTTTAATGCGCAGCGTTTTTATCGATCGATTCAGTGACACAGGAACACGTAATGGACGACCTAGAGCCCCGATTGGCCCTGCTTCACTGTCTATCCCAGCCAGTTGAGTCCAGAACGCAAGTCACAGCCTCTGAGATATGAATCATTATATTTCAAACACACTCTGTTTATATACTAACCAAGCAGACCACATCGTACCATAAAAATAGAAAACAATATTTACACAATATTAAACAACTGAAGCAAATATCGACCAATAGGTAATGTACATTTAGCGTCCAAGGACAACATTAGACTTAACATGATAACTATTGGTATATTTTTCTGCATATCCTGACAATAACTAAAACCAAATATGGATTATAAACCTATGTGAGGAACTATCATTATGATTTACAGTTGATGATTAAGGTTAGAAATTAAATTTATGGTTTTTTACCACGAACTGACGTCAGCTAATAATGTCAAAACACTATTTAACCAAATGAATGAATGAATTTCGCGCCAAAATTCAAAACCAGTTATCTTATACCTGATTGGTTCGTTCATAAATTATAATCTTACCACTGAATTATATCATAAATTCATTTTATTATATAAATGATTTACTTTTGACATTAGTTAATTCTTCAGAAATATTGATCATCTTGTTTAGTAAACATTCTTCTCTTTCTTTATAATTTCTTTCAGTAAGATCATGTTTTTGTAATTGATTATCTAGTTGTTCAGTTAAACTGTAAATTAAAATTATATATCATAAATATAATACAATATTAAAACAGTTGATAAATGATAGGCTTGAAAATTATATAGATCACTCCATGTTACAGTTTAATCTAATAGAATTTTTCTCATTTGATGATATTGTGGTGTATGCTACTGATGTCAATAGATATAAGTAGTATGTAGCATCAATTGAAATTAAAATATCTAGCAGCAGAAAGTTAAGAAGATTGAAGAAAAGAGAATGAGAACAATGAAGACTGAGACAATTGATTGACATTTGCAAAAGGAACAGTCATGTTTGAGACAATTGACTAATATTTTGCAAATTAACTATTTACTGTATGGTTCTCAGATATTCTGTAATTTTATATTTAAATATATTCGATTGTGTTCTCGTTCATCACAATATTTCTTTAAAAACCGAACGACATAAATGATCAATTTATTATATCAAACAGTACAATTAACGATTTCAAATCGTCAGATTATTCACTTCGTTAAAATCATTAGACTTTAATCATATTCAATGAATTTGATCCCATTTGATTTTTGCCAACTTAAATCTGCTATAAATCAGCTGACTACTGATATAAAGATGAGTATTACTTTACGAGTAAAAAAATGAATCAGTCTTTGATTGTACATACCTCGGAAATGTTGTTCACATATGATGAGATCACCAGGTGAAAAAGAATCTGGTGTTAGAAGTATAGTAACATAAAAAAATGAGCCATTAGGTGGAAAACAACGTGACTTTATTGCTAGAATCTTTGTTTTTGCTCTTTTTAAAATGATAAAGGGAACTATGTGTATGAAATTTTATTTATTTAACAGTGATTGAGGTATGAGCGGAATAATAAAAGACATTGGTTATCAGATCAATGTTTCGCACATGTAAATGAAGTCACTAACTGTTGAACTGTGCATTGTAGTTGTATGCTTAGACAGTAATTTACTAGCCCTTATCAGTCTTCCACATTTAGACCGTGAATTTAAACCTAAATTTGTTTAGGATTGATTAAAACTTAAATATGAATAATCTCGGTGCTCAAAAGTATAGAAATTTCAAGTTAATTTTCGAAGCAGCCACAACTTGGAAGTGTTGTACAGTTTCACCATAGTTCTCCTAAACTGTTAATAAATATTTTGTAAACGTTGAACCAAAGTGTAAAATGAGGAATAAATTGACTCAATATTATCTTCCTTCATAATATCAAGCAATCAATCCACACGGCACTCCAAGTTTTACTATTCTTGGTTAATGTTACTCAAGATTTACTCATCAATACAAAATAATGTTGTTGTTCTTTTTTGAAAAACGAATATCTCATCCTTGGTTTGAAACTAATCCTATCTCAGAATAGAAATGTAACCGGCAACCAAAAAAATCCAAAACTCAATCGGTTTTTCCAAAATCCTTACCTTGAAATTTTTTCTTTTAAACTTCTATTTTCATGAGCAAATGATTGATTTTCTTCTTTTAGACCGTTTATTCTTTGTCTGTTTAAAAATATTCATGAAGTATAATATATACTACTGAGTAGAATAAGTAGTCTATAAGACATCAAAGAATTAGGTAGTTTTCATCTAATCAGGTATTGATTTATTCATTTGGTGTTGTTTACTTGCATCTTCCCATCGTTATTTAGGATTACAATTGATCAGCCTCTTGTTGGGAAATGTATATCCTGTGCGATCTGTCTCGATATTGCCTGAAGTCACAAGCTTTTTAAGCAAAGATGAATAGTGGCTAATAGTGCAATCCAGAACGGTACTAGGTTTGAGTCCCGGAGTGAACATTAACTGTGGGATTCAGGCACATCCAGATGACGAGTCCAGAATAGGACGAAACGCGCGCCCTAGATTCCATTGCTAACCACCATCTACCTTTGCTTATAAAAATATTGATTTAATTTCAAAAGAGATTTTGAGCACTGATACAGACCAGTAGTAAATTTAATAGATAGTTTCTATCAGTATTGTGTATACAAAAATATTCAATAAATAATTTAATCAATAATTATTTAGTTCACCGAAGCATAATCAATATTCAACTGATAAATATAAGAAATCAATATGAAAAAAGGTAACATTCATAGATTATTTTGGAATGCTTACTCAAAATTCAATATTAATTGTCTTTTCTCATCATGTAAAGTATCTAAACGTTTAGATTCTTCACTTAATTTTGTTTTCAATACTAAAATATTTTAAGAAAAAATGAAAAGAATAACGATTACTGGAAGAAAAGGAAAAATTTCAAAATATTCTAGAGAATTCTTTAATTCTAGTGACAAATAGTAACCAGTGGAGTTCAACCGGGTCTGTTGTGAAGCAGTCACTCATTGAAGACAATGATGGATGTGTCGCTCAATTTCGTGGATTAGTTGAAGTTAAACATGAACACCATTGGATGCTGGCCGGTTCAGTGGTCTAGAGGTTAATCGTTCGCGCGCGAGACTTATTGGTCCTGTGGTTCGAATCTCATGGGTCGGGATCATGGATGCGCACTGCTGAAGAGTCACACACTAGACCGAAACGGCCGTCCAGTGCTTCCAGGTTTTCCATGGTGTTCTATCTTTCATTCACTCATGATTTCAACTATTGAAAAAAGTAATGATCAATTTTGAAAATCCATTTTAGGAACAAGTATAAAGCGGTTTACTAGATGGACAATTACCAAATCCATATCAACCCATTTGATATGTCGATGAGGTATTGAATATCATTAATAGCAGTATGCTTGGTTATTCAATGACTTTATACATAAGACAAGATGAACATAGCCTTAAAACTGATCCCAATACTGTTTCACTGGTCTAAGAGATGCTTGAACATTTATGAAAATCAGATAAGCAGGTGATAATAACTTTAAAGTTTATGAAATATATTTCACTTCGGTTACTTTTCAAAATGGCAAATAATTTTATAATGAATTGTGACTTCAGTATCCTAATTCACTGACATTCAACTACGTTAAAGATTTTAGAACAGTATGAGAGTTACATAAAGTTTTTGTCACAGTAACTAAAAACTTGTTAACCAATCTTTTCACTATTGTAATGAAAACTATGATAGAAGAAAATTTTCAGGAAACTTTTTTTTAATGACAAATGAGATCTTAACACATAAGCTTCCCAAATCAATTTTTCTATTGTGCAATTAGCAAGTCTAATTGTGAATGTGAAGCATTCGTTCATTGTTTCAGGTAGATTGGAAAAATTGATAGGGAACATCAGGACAGTTTCATAGGCACAAATAGATTATACTTTCACAGAGTATATTGTCCTTCAATAAGTTTTAAATCTTCGGAACTTTCTATTGAAATAAACAATGCCTATACATTCAATCAATTCATTCAAAATAAGGACAGATAAATGCAGAAATTAACTTGAAAATAAATTCGGGAATTTCTTACAGCTTCTTAAATCATCTAAAGTTGATGCAATCTAAGAAATGGTTTAGGATCATAATTACTCAAGCGAATAAAACATCAACATGATTGTATCGAGTCCCATGTACAGAATTGTGGATGTGCACTGCTCAGGAGTCACATAAAAAAACACGTTGCCGAACTTCTGCATTAGTTAAATGGTGTCGCCACTAGATGTTACCAATCATTCGAAAACAACGATGATCAGACACAGCGAGTCGTCTAACATTCTTAACTTGGAGGTCAGGTTTCACAAGAATGAGACAAAACTGTGCTCACTAACACTTTGTAAACCCGAACTTTTACAGTCAAATTAATGTCACGAAGGCTCCAAAGATGGTCCGAACTGACATAAGCTGCTCTGGCTTTCACTATAAGTGAATTGGTTTCATCTCTCACGCAACCACCAGCACTTGCGCAGCTACCCAGATACAAGAACTTCTCAAATCCTTCTATCTGCTCATTACCCAGGATGAGTGCAAGTTCAGGGTTCTGCTAGCCTTGTAAAAGTACTCCGTACTTAAAAAGCGCAAAGCATATGCTGTACCAACGGACACTGGTTTTCAAGTGACTAAGCGCGGATCGCATGATTTGAGTGTTATTCTACAGTAAGAAAATATCATCCACATAGTTAAGGTTGAGAAGCATTTCTCCAGGTAGTAGATCCACAACATCATCACCTACTTTCATCGGACCTGTTTTAAGAGAGTCATCAATGGCTAAGTTGAATAGGAATTTTGAGATTGGGCAACCCTGCCTAACCCCACTGCTTCAATGAAACAATAGAGAGAGATGGTTTATGCCCTCATTCTACCCGAGGTGTTTGTATATGAGGCTTTCAAAATATTAATAAACTTCTCAGGTACACCTCTCATCAACAGATAACCTCAGACTGTCACTCTGTTCAACAAATAGAAGGAAGACCGAACATCAAAATTATCAAACCACGTAGTAATATAGATCAAAATCTGAGGTCTTACAGTGAAAATACGGTTGCAAATTAAGCATTCGCTCTTCATTTCTTCTGGGATGTTGAGTCTAAAAATTATAGTATTCATTCTATGCCGTACAACCAATATTTTTTAGTACCACTGAGACTGTTACTACTTAAACTGCTCTGGAATTCACCTTGAAGGTTTCAAATCGCTGAAATGATATGATGGGCCAACTTTAACAAATGGACATATGTCCCAGTTTCTACGTTTATAATTAATACTCAGAAATGAAGAAAGATTGAGTTGAAAATACCCTCTGCAGTTGTCTATCAGAATTGAGAGCACTCTGAATAAGTGTTATTACATACACATATACAAATTTCAAGTGAACCACGAACAGAGAAAACCAAATAAGCAGTTTCGTACATAAGTTTTCAATCGATCGAAAATTCATTGCGGAGTATATACTTTCACTTTCCCAACTATTTTTGGGAGTAAATCAATCAATAACTAGTAGGATCACCAATGAAATAAATGATCATATATCTAATAATGATCCTTAAGTGAATTTCGTAAATTAATATTCAAGCTAATGAACCCAATTATAATAAATATTTTCAGAAAGAGGTTTTTGTGGAGATTGTAGTAATTTAATCATCGAGTTAATGAGTCAATTAAAGTTAGACCGTCATGGAAAACCTTGAAGCACTGGATGGCTATTTCATCCCAGTACGGGACTTTTCGGTAGGGCACATCCACAATCCTGCTCTTGGGATTCGAACTCACAACCTACGGTCTCGCACTTGAGCGCTTAACCTCTATACCACTGGGTCGGCCAGCATCCAACGGTGTTATTATCTAACTTCAACTAATCCACGAAATTCCGCCACCTACCTTTGTCCTCAATGAGTTGCTATCTCACAACAGAAGCGGTTGAACTCTACTGGTCACGGCTTCTTACTAGAACTCCAGTCACTAGTGAGCACGTGATGATTATTATCAGAAAAGGGTTTTTGTGAAGATTGTAGTAATTTAATCATTGAGTTCATGATTCAATTAAAGCTGTTGAGGATTCCCATAGTCAGACGAAATGGCCGTACATTTCTTCCAGGTTTTCCATGGTGGTCTAACTTCAATTGGCTCATGAACTCAACTATTAAATAAAAATATTTTTTAAACACATCAGGAAAACGAGTTGTGAAACGCTTAAAAATGTCTAGAATTGAACATCAATGTAGCATTTAATAACACGTTTGCTGTAAGATTTTGATAATACAATTTACTTCTCAAGCTTATGATGATATCTATGCATTAAATATAGAATTGAAATAATAAAATCCCTAAACATTCACTCCATAAATATCACTCATTGATCTACAGAAAGAAAAGATAATAATATTAATATATTTTGAAAATAATAATTACAGAATTTATTTCAGTTTACAGGCATGATTAGCTTGATTTAGATAGTACTATTGAATGTTGGGGACATATGTGGTATTAGATTTGTTTGATATGTTTTGGTTTAAAAATTGTTTAAATAGTAGAGTTTTCGAATTTATTACAGTAATGAAAGGTTCTGTTGGTGTAGGATGAGACTACAGAATGGAAACTTACGAAATTGCAAAGAATAAAACACCAAATCAGATGACTAACTGTTACTGATGAGCTCTTTATAAACACAGTGTTATTATCTTAACTATGGTACCAATTCTAATCAGACTTTGGTGAATATTTCTGTTATAACTAGATTTCAACTAAATAACTGTTATAGCCCAAAGCGTATAATAATGGTTCATAGGTCAAAATAAAGTTTATAATAAGAGGAATATGAATATGAATAGTTTAGTTATTTAACAAGCCCTATCTTGGAATCCTGAAGGAAGACGGAAAAGAGGGAGACCAAAGAACACATTACGTTGGGAAATAAAGCAGATATGGAAAGGATGAATAGCAACTCGAAGGAGCTGGAAAGCTGATGAGCGGCCTATGCTCCTTCACGAGGAGTAACAGGCGTAAGTAAGTAAGTTATTTAACAATTATACGATAAAAATATATGTTTAGTATTGGTCCATAAAAGGATCCCAAAGTTACCATTCATTATGTTTATCGGGACCTAACAATAACATCGACCATTGACTTTGTTATTAGCATTAGACACTCGATCATTACACTTACTCATGTGATAAACATAGTCACTCAATTATTCAACCGAGTAATTGACGCTCACATTAGAAAGGAACAATTACAAAGAAGTCAATAAGTGAAATCAAAATCGAATATACCTTACAATATACGTCAGTGTAAGTGAATATCCCTATCGATAATCACTACCCAACCACAAACCTGTTTGAATGAAAATATTTTTCAAAAATAATATTACCTAATATATCACCCAATTGTTCCCCTTGTTTTTCTGACCAATTATTACGTTCTTCTTTATACTTTAACTCTAATTCATTGAACTTATGAATTGCTGAATCTTTTTCCAAGGTAACTAAATCAAGTTTATTAGTTATCTCGTTATATTGATTATTCAATTGTGTAAGTGAAGTATTATCTAAAATAGATATGTATTATTAGTATAATAAACATTCAAACAGAATTAATTTAATTTGTTTATTCCAATTTTTTCCCCCATAAATTTATCACATTAAGTTACTCGTGTTCGTTAAGATCACTTGTACCATTTAGTGCGATTTTCAATATTTGAACTCGGATACGAGAACATGTTCTAGTTTGATTCTACAAGGATGAGAGGAAAGCAGTTACAAGATCTATACTTAAATACCTAATCAACTGTAATCATTCTACGGATCCACAGTTTGGTTTTATGGTTGTTTATATGATTCGTTCAAATCTACCTAAATTTCTTCGTATCCAACTCCTAAAAAAAGCCGAAGCTCTTACTATCTATGGGCTCAAACCAGAACTATGCGTACAAAATTGTCTTATCTTTATCGTTACCTTGGCCTTTATCATGATAATAATAATTATTATTACTGCATTCTCCTCTAATTATGTCTTATATTCTCATCATTTTACTCATAAATACTCATCGTATCACCTTGTTTATTTTTACAACTCTATGACCTTTAGTTATTAGAACGAAAACATTTTATCAGAAGGCGTTTTGTGGAGATTTTAGTAATTTCAATAGTTGAAACCATGAGTCAATTGAAGCTAGACCGCTATGGAAAACCTAGAAGCACTGGACGGCCGTTTCGTCCTAGTATTTTTAATCATCTTATTACATTCACTAAATCTATTGTTATTATTCGTATTACGTAATCTACTATTATTATCTTTCTATTACGCCTCCCGAATGCCCTGGTACGACCGAGAGTGGGGAGAGTTCGCTCCCCCTCTTTCCGAATGCTCTCACATGGCCACGCGTATACAGCCTCTGTCAGGGAAGTCCTACTCACTGCCTTCTCGTGGCGGGAGTATTGTCTAGGAAAATGAGAGGACGAAAGCGAATGTCCGGCGCTTTAACCGGATCCCAAACCAATGGTGCACATGGGCTCCAGTATCCTGAGGGAACAAATGGCGTATGAATCAATCGTTGGTCACCAGCTACCATGGGACTGCATCTCCTTACGATGCTCCACTACCTTGTGGGTCAGACCATTAGGTCAAAGGCTCGGGGTGTGGCCCCCTAAGAAAACCACTTGCTTCAGTTTGGGAACCCGGGCAGTATCACAGCCAACACACAAATATAATGATCATAAAAATGATGGTATTTACTTAAAACTCTATTCTCGCTTCGATCTTTGTGTGGCGCATACATATTTGATGCCCTCTTATATCAATATTTATGTGATCAAATAAATAAATAAAAAATAATTACGTCATCTTAGTTATTCGTGATCACATTTCCTCAAGGAATTAGTACGGAAAATAAACATTTTCATATATATACGGTTGTATAGCTTGATAATGAATTCGTTAAGAAGAGATCCCTTTGTATTTTTATTATTTGAATAATAAACAAGATTGAAAGAAGCTTCGTAATGGAGTAATTATATTTAAATATAACCCCATACATAGTGATGTATATTGCAATAGGGAATGATGAAAAATCATTGGTTGTTTAGTCCATAGTGTGAATTGAACTCTGTCCATTTGAGTATTGAATTGAATAATAAGTAATAAGTAATTTATTATCATATTCACTAATGTTTGGATATAAGTCATAAGTTTGAAGGAAGCCTAAAATATATGTTTAGTACTTATTACCCCTTACTAACAAGGCGTAGCTGCAATCTTGGTGGAACTGATGCTCTCTGTAGCACTCCAACACACGTCGTACAATGTCACAATCTAACATACTACCAATCAAATTTTTGGGTTATTCTTTGCATTCAAACTTTTTAACTCCTGAGGACTGTTTCGACTACGATGTTTAACGGAAATTGCTGAAATATGAGTTAAACTCCTTAGTTTATCGTTCAAAGTCAAAATTATAAAATTGCAAATCTTTTTACTTTGTAAGAGATAAGGAGGAAAATAGATTGACGACTTACATAATTGATTCAGTGTAGAAATATGATCTCTTAAACTGTTGATTCTATCAACTATTGGACGAAGTAGACTGTCAGTGAATAGTTTCTCTTTTAATTTATTTCGTACTCTCTTTGAATAATCAAACAGCTCGATCAGTTTTTCTTGATTATATGAAACTTCAGCTCTATATTTTAAAAAATGCTTTCGACATAAAAACTCTATCTGATAATAGATCATCAGAAAAATAGATTATCAAATTAAACAGTTTAAACTTCAATATCAAGTCATAGTCAGCGTGGATCTTGACACACATATGCATCGGCCCAAGTTGTTATAACACAGATAACACAAAGATCTAAGTTTAGGAAAGATGAATAGCAAGTGAACCAAAATCATGTAACACCAGTAGTAATGAGAAAGATTAAACATAGAGAATATGATTTGGAAAGGTAGAATGAAAAGGTATACGTGAAAGAATTGCCGGAAATCGTGTAAATATTCACAATTCAGTTTATTAGTATATCTAACAATTGTTAATTCTACATTTTTTAACGATTGGTCCACAATGTCATATTTGTATCTTTTGACAACATACAACCTTTGATAACTGTGTCCGGACAATAAAACACCAACAAAAGGAAGGGAAATTAATCGACAAAACCGAAATGACATCAACTATAATGAAGAGATAAAAGATATAATAAGTCTAGAAATAAAAGATTTAGGATATAACATTCTTTAGAGAATTGAAGTGATATAAAATAGGAAAGAGTTAATGACACATTGACCGATTTGGAACAATATTAATTAGATCTAGATAATTAAGTTTGGAATGGAATTTCTGAGGTAGTCATCTAAGTCCAAAGTATGAAAGGGCACAACAAATGCATGAGATAATGATGGCACTATATTACAAATATCAATTCAGTTTTGTAACAAAATACCACGTTTCAGAGATTTTGTTAATGATTAATTACTTCGTAGTAACTTAAAAATGAATAACGACAAATTCATGTATAATAATTATCATGGGAATGTATAGCGTTTATCCTGCTATGCTTATGAAAAACAAACGAAAAAACAAAACAAATAATATGGTTTTAATTACCTTATATTACAAATTTCATTTTAGAAACATTTCGCGTAAATGAATTTATGATCTCTAGAAATATGCTCAGTCGATCTTAATATATCAGTCAATACTCGATCAGTACAAAGCACCTTTGCTGAATAGGAAATTAGGAAAACACAATAGAAGTGGATAGAGCATACATTACGTAAATCATCAAACTGCATCACGAGGTAAGCCCTAGCTTGGAATCCTGAAGGGAAGCGGAAAAGAGGAAGGCCAAAGAACTTATTACGTCGTGAAATAGAAGTACATATGAAAAAGAATGAATACCAACTGGAAAGAGCGGGAAAGGGTTGCCCAGGACAAGGTTAAATGAAGAATGCAGGTGAGCGGCCTATGCTCATTCACGAGGAGTAACAGGTGTAAATATGTAAGTAAGTACAAAACACCTTTAAACAGAGATATTTCGATAAGCTCGGGACTTTTTATGGTTTGTCTAAATTCATGTCTTAATACAATATATGTCATCACTTTTCAAATGGCAAACAGTTAAATTATTTGATATTACTATAAATCAAACTGACTTACTGACTTCTGGCAAGTTCTTTGATGAATTGTTTTTCAGTAGCTTCATAACAAATTAATTTTGTATTCGCATCATCTAATTGTTGGATGATTTCGGCTTTTTCATTTAATAAACGCTCAATACTGTAATATTAATAATAGCGATAATTGTAATAAAAACAGGGATTATCAAACGAATTATGTAGAAAAATATTACCAAATACAGTGCAATCAGTAAAACCAGATCAAGAAAATTACAAAAAAACATCGAAATTTAGTTCAAAATAAATAGACCATTGGATAGGAAGTTAACAATAAATATATTTTTGGATATCTCAATGAGTAGAAAATTACATTTCGAATGCTTCGTGACTTCTTCAGAAGTGGCTTACATTAAGTTATGAAATGTCAAAAATACAGTTTTCTTCTCATTGAAACATCACAAATATATGTTTACTATCAAAATTCAGATAAATATCCAAGTATCCTTATAGGGGTTGTCGAAATTATTGTTTTTCTTCTAGTTGAGATCATGAACCGACTGATGTTAGACCACCACTGAAAACGTAGAAGCACTGGACGGCCGTTTCGTCCTATTGTGGGTCTCCTTAGAAGTGCGCATCCACGATCTTTCTCGTGGGATTCGAATCCATAAACTCAACCAGTCTGCGAGAAAGGTATCTACCTCAGTACAATGAAAGGTGGTCGCGCAATTTCGTGGATTGGTTGAAGTTAGACATTAACACCATTGGATGCCGACTCAGTGGTCCATTAGGTCAAGCGTTCACGCGCGAGAATGAAGGCCCTGGACTCGAATCCCGAGAGCGAGATCGTGGATGGGCACTGCTGAGGAGTCCCACAATAGGGCGAAACGGCCTTCCAGTGCTTCTAGGTTTTCAATGGTGGTCTAACATCAATCGCTTCATGATCTCATTTGAAAATATATCCAAGTATTTGACTTCAAATATTGACTGGACACATATTTCATGCTTCAATATTACTAATCTGACTAGAGAAATTCCATTCATTTGAATGGTATCATGATGAACATTTATAAAATGATAACTTTTGAGATTTTATGATATAACCGTTATTCATCTATGTTGTTGGTGTAATCAAGTAGTCTGTGTTGATATGATTCTGTTGAGACCACAATAACTTAATGTCTTATTCAGTAAAATGTTGGTTCAATTTGTCATATTTAATATCAATTATCAATTTAACATTATTAAATAAAACAGAATCGATAAAAAGATATCACTTTAGACGGAATAAACGCCTTTGTCTCACATTACTTGTACCAACAATAAATGAATATATCGATTAGTTTCAGATCTTTAATTTGTTAACCTTAAGCTCTCATCACTTCAATTTTTAGTCAAGGAACATGATATCTTAACAAAAATGATTACAAATAGAGGGAAACATAGGGGAAAACAACTTTGGTTAACTATACTTCACAGTTTTATCTGGTTATTTATGAAAGTGATTTAACATTCTTACTATAGAATACTGAATAAGTAATGTTTGGCATCATATAAATTTACTATTTGGTGAGTTTATTAGTCCTTAAATTGCTTTCGCACACTCGAGTTTACATTTACACTTGAACTTTAGGAAACAACTCATATTCTCTTCATCCATCCTTGTCAACTCATCTATCTATGTATAATGATAATAAACCTTGTTTAACGATTCAAAATTGATATTCCAAAATCTTTTGACAAGATCAAGCATTATTCGTCCATTATTTGATTTGTGCTGTTTAGTGCATTCGTGATTATACCGCGTTTAACAAGGATTTTATTTAGTGCCTAACTACCGACTAAAACATTTTTTTTAAATCCAAAGAGGAACTTTTCTGAATTCACAAATTTTTTTATAGTTAAACATTCTTTTATTCTGGTTGAATTTCAGGTCTCTTCGTTATTCATGGTCAATCATTTCGCAGTTTTACCATTATGATAAAATTTGTCACCAAAAAAAGGACTAAGTAGTATTATGTATTTAAGAGCTTGAAAATGCGCTTATCTATATGTTTTTACCTCGTCACGGTTGATGTTTCGATAAAATCAATTACATTGCTTATTTATGTCTCTGAGCTTATAGACACTTTTCAACCATATTTCTGTACATTTTGAGATTTATTCACAACTGAAATGATAGACATGATCAAATAAAAGCTCTTACAAAACTATAACGATATTAATTAGTAACCAACACACTTTCCATCAACAAAGACTATATTTTCATAGAACTATTCAACTTTTCGGAAGAATGTTTTTTGAAATAATACTCGTATTTTTATCTGCTATAAACGTTTTAGATTGTGTAGTATCCTATATTCTGCTTGTGTAGTGGTAGATAATTATCTAGAATAAATGATCTTATAGGTATCAGATAACGATACTGATCTTACTAACTTTAACGGATTAAAATACTTGAGCGTGGAGAATCAAGCATATAATCCGCTTTTCATCACTACCCATATAATTCTCTTTTTCCTTCTTCGTAATGGTCAACTCAATAGTTTTATGTTCACAATTCCGTAAGGTCAAAGAACATCATTTTGCTAGACATTTTCCAAGTTATTAACCATGGAATCAAAGTGATTCTTTTAAATATAACGTTTACAATTGATCAGTATCACTAACATCCAGTTTCTAATAAATCAATTCAGTTTTATTTCCTTAACAAATAATAATGAAGCTTGTAGCGCTAAAAAAAATCCCCAGAATAAATAGCTCTGTAAGTCTTCGACACTGGATGCTGGTCATATTAGTTTCAATGGACTCACCTAGCTGAAGACGCTCGGTCATGCATCCGCATCAGATCACGAGTGGGAACGTCGTGCTCAACATCCCCTTCAGTCGCTAGTTAATCTAGATCAGTCTATCCTCGATATATTGGTAGTCTATCAAATATATCTTCGAACCTACTAGCTTCTGTCTTTTGATTTCACTTGGTGGGTACGATTTTTATTAGAAGGTGTTACTGGTTAAGGCGTTGTCAAAATCCGAATACTTATGGCATCTTCAAGCTGATCTAGTACAAACCTCCTTATTAAATTTGCTAAGAAACTGAGGTCTGATTAAGTCTCTGAGCAGTTATTTAATTTGCTAGATTGAAAACCAGCAGAACCATACAAAAATGTATAAACGTAAAATTCATTTGAATATGTTTGAAGATCAATGTGTAGTCTGTAGAAGAATCCCCCAAACCCTCAACTTTGAGTAGGAAGTGACTAGGTTAGTGCGAGTTTTGAGTGAAGATATCTGAAAGTTTTGTGTTAATCTTAGAAAGATAAAGCAAAAGAACTCATACTGTATAATGGTCTTGTAGTTTGTTCACATTTCGGTGGATTTATAATTTATAAACGACTTTTGAGAGAGGCTTAAGTAAAATTGAAAATTTTCACATCCATACAAGAATCAAAGGAGGGTTGTAAATCAGTGTGATGAATTAGTATTAAGATTTAAAGTTAGACATCATGGCTAGAAATAAGAGTTAAATTTTTACAATGAACTGTCACCAGTTATAATCTAGAAATGCTACTTAGCCATACGGATGAGTGAGCTTTAGGCCAAATGTTAAGACTAACTGGATAAAATCAATTCAGTCTGTCCACAAATTCCATTCTTGCTAAAAAATATCTCTATTTACAAATACCCAAGCAACACAAAAAGGGGAAATAAAGCAGACGAAAGGGGAAATAAAGGGGAAATGTCGCTTTTTTGCCTTTACGTCGTGTATTTGGGGAAAATTTGTCGACAATTCTACGTAACGTACAGTTTTTGAATAAACCGCATCCGGAACAGCATTTTCCATAGACTTCGGCGAATTAAGGCGCCGCTTAGTAAAGAAACAAAAGTATTGTCATAGAAACAATGTACGAGATACGGAACCAGGCATTCGGTTGATACGCACACAAAGTGACTTCGTTTGTTGTTTAGCTGAAGTGTTCCGACATGCTTTGGAGCCATCACAAAAAACTTACGTGATGCAGGTGAGTGACGTGCTCTCAGACTTTCATGTTCATTGTAACTGATTACCTTGTAAGGCCAATACTATGAGTTATATTGAAGTCAGTGAGAATGTTCGTAGACGTAGGGCCACTGTGAACTTGTCACGTTCCCTTGGCTGTCATAGATCCACTTATAACAGAAGGTGGAATAAAATGAAAGCTGCTCTCATGAAAAAGTATCACTTTCTTTCGCTTAGTGAGTTTGCTAATGACAGCAGCATAAAAGGTAACTGAGTTCAACAATGTTGTTTACTTAATTTATAGAAATAACGAGAGAAGTCATTTCCATTCGAGTCATATATGAGACAAATTAAGGATTCCGTGCGTAGTGGGTTTGCAGTGGCTAAGCAAGCAGCACAGCGTTATGCTGAGAGAATGTCCTTCAGCGATAGGCTTCAAATTAGTGGCTTAACTAATACTACCCCAATAGGCGCAACTGATGTCTCTACAAAACAAGTAATTATGTTTAACAGTAGTAAAATCACTTCATGTCAGCCTGATAATGTAGTAGTAGTGAACGGCCAGCCAGGTTTAATCACTGATATAAAGGAGGATGGACTACTAAAATTTAGGACTTTCACTGACCCACGCAATTACTTTGAAGATCCATTCCCATCTACTGATATTGGAATTTTTAGGTGCTCCGTAGTTAGCCATGAACACACATGGATATCACTTAAGGACATTGATTGTAAATGTATAGCCATCAACTGTATCAATTATGTAATTATAATCCCATTGTTGCATACTTTATTGTAAATGCATTTTGTTTCACTAGTGTTTATTAATGACGATAAATCATTTAATTACGTCTTATGTTATTTTCAGCCTGCTAACAAGAAATACGTCATTGTTGACGTCCTGAGCAAAAAACAACTGATGGTAGCACACAAAGATTGGATCGTAGGAAAGGAACTGTGCGCTTTTCCAAAAGAGCATGTAGATATACATCTTCTGAAGAGCGACCAACCGAATGAAAATTGGTCATTTATGAAATGTAAAGTGATTCACGAATTAGGTACGTTACATACACAGGATGGATAATTCACCATAGATTCTCTCCAGTCGGCAAAAGATCTGTTAGTTGCCCTCCAGATACTGGAGTCTCAACGGAAAAACACCTCAACGGATGAAAACACTTTGCCACTTAACACTGAAAAGCCAAAAAGGTCTGTACAATAATCTTACTAACATTTCCTAGAGGTGTAATGAAGCGTAAAGAAGATTTTCTTTACAATTCAGTCGACATGGATGTTGCTGAGATGCAGTCTAGGAATGTCCCCGTACAATATCCAAAATTCCGTGTTTTCGAAAAATTAATGTCGCCAATCGCCAAGTACGTTTAATTAGTATTTAGATATTCACGAATTAGTTCGACACAATTAGAGACATCACCTTCGACATCGGAATGTAAGCATGTTGGCGGCGCTATAGTGGACAAGTAAGTTACCTGCATCATGTAGTGACCTTTTCCAGCAGTGAAAGGTTGTATATACTGGTGCTGAACATGTCGTCAGCTATCAGTGAACTGACGAAAACGATTAACAACATGTCGTCCGCCATTACTGACTTGAATGTTAATGTTAACCAACTGCTATCGAAGTTTCATGAAAGCGAAAAACCGCATCAATTCGATTGCGGACTGTCCAGTCAGCAGTTTCATTTGTCATCTGAAGAGGAACTGCAGATGCTTGATACCGGTTTGTCGCAGAAAGAAACGAGGGACAGATTTGTAAGTCATTAACATAAATTTAATTATTTGTGACGATTACAGATGGCAATGGTCACTAGGTTATCAAGTGACGACCCAAAAGCGTCCATGCGGTTTGTTCTGTCGTATCTGTTGACACCTGAGGTTGCCAGTAAATTCACGTTACTTGGCACCTCTTCAAAACGAGCACTGCAGAAATGCACGTTTTACGGCTGCATACGAAGTAACCTTTATCTATTACTTAAACTTCAGGTGCTTTGACTCATCGGTTTTTGTCATCCTCTGTCAACGAAAAAGACCTTGGTAAGCTCTACGACATCGCGACCCAAGGTTACTTTCACGACATCCGAGACAAGATGATAAAACGTTCTAGGAGAAAAGATAACCAGGTATGTACAGATTTAAAGTGATAACCTCCCTACGGCTCTATAGTTACAGTCAACAATATTAACGAACATAACCGTAAGTTCAGCTTCAAGTATTTGGGTGTGCTAAAGCACATCATTGAGATATGGTTGTGACCTTTTTTTAAATTCAGAATTCACAGGACGACTACCTCAATTCCGAATAGTCCGTGCAATTGTTTTGGTGTTCTACCTCGATGTCAATAAACATTTTTCTTTCAAACAGCTTACTTTTTTACTTACTTGGGAAACTGTTGAGAATGTGTTTGAGTTTGAGTGAACTTTTGATTAAATGGACATTGCTTATGAATAAAACATAACCTGTTCCTTCTTTTTCAGATAATTGTCTATAAAAATGAATTAGCAATTGCATTGGATATGCATAACAATGGATGCTTAAGCTTGTGCTCTACTGTTGTACAATAATAGGCTTTTTTTTAAATACAATTTTTAAAAAATTTACCGCTTTTAAACTGCATTGCAGAAATATTTTTGTCTGTTGTTGAAAATAAAGGCGAATACAAGAGACCTTTGGTCTTCTGTCGATGGATAGAAAATGGGGTGTAATGTGTGTATTTAGGCGTATATGCGACAAATCAGCGGATATTTAGGCGAAAACGTGACTATTCAGCGGTTATTTAGGCGAAAATGCGACAATTCTGCGGATATTTAGGCGAAAAAGCGACAATTCGGCGGATATTTAGGCGATAAGTGGGTAATTTGTCGACAACAAGGCGAAAAAGGGGAAATTCCGCATTATTTCCCCCGGACAGGCGAAAAAGACGACATTCTGGCGCGTTTTCTCCTTTATTTCCCCTTTCGCCATCAAAGAATTTACCCCTTTATTTCCCCTTTTTTCCCCATTATTTCCCCTTTTTGGGTTGTCTGGGTACTAACAGTAATTATTCATCGTTCGACCACCAAGCACTAGATAGGCTGCAATTCAACTACCGTCAGAAATTCAAAATAAAAATTTAAAAATAGTTTTACAATTGATATAAAATAAGTCTTAAAATCCAAATTTAATAACAGTTAAACTCACTCTTCAGATACATGTTTTTCACCATTTGATGGCAAGTCAACATTTCCCCCAGGAATCGGTGAATGAGAGCATTGTTTGTGTTTGACAAGTTCCAATTCTTTTCGCAAATTTTCGGATTTATCTTCAAGAAATTTTATCTCGTTCAGTATAAGATAACTGACGCCACAATATGCACAAAATGTCTCTTCCGTACGAACATCTAGCAGCTCTTTAGGTATAGGGTATTTTGGTCTATATGTTCTCAGGTCTTTTATCAATTCAGAAGAGCGGTACTGAGAGTCTTCTGTAGAAATTGCCATAACTACATGATGACGCTACGTTCGAAATTGTCACTGTTTTCAGGGTCAATGCTCACTTCACAATAACTAATTCTGCGGACAAACCTTGAAACTTCTGTACTTTTAAAGAGTGAAAGTTGTAAAAATATTGACTATTTTAGAATATATTATGATTAATTAAGGTCTAAAGATATGAACAGAAATTAGTTTCAGTTTCCGTTTCAATATGGGAAGGACAGGAGGCTCGATGGCCTATGTTAGTCCTGGCAATGGTGGTCTCTCAGTTGATCCAACTTTCTTTTGAAATAGTCGACGATGGAGCCTTAACCACGTGCTGAGGTAGTGAATTCCACTGGTTGATGATTCGATGGGAAAGTCGATAGTCAGCTGACAAGTAATTTGTTCTCGGCTTGTGAACTTTTTTGGAGTGTCCTCGTAAATTCTCTGTTTTGGAAGACAAGAAAAACGAGGGCATGTTAGGTGCAAATTTATCACTAAGCAATTTGTAGACTGTAATCAAGTCGCCTCTAGTTCTGCTATATGACAACGGGAAAAGGTTCAGCTTGGCCTGTCGAGATTCATACGGAAGCGTCGCTATTCTGGGAATCAGCTTAGTTGCCGTTCTCTGAACATTTTCCAGAAGCTCACTGTCTTTTTTAAGCAGGGGCTAGCCGCTTGTATGCAGTACTCAAGTTTAGGACGAACGAATACTGTATACAAAGTCAAAAACGTTTTAGCGTCGACATGACTTAAAGCTCTACGTATTGACCATAAGGTTCTAAAACCTTTGGCGGCTATTGCACGGCAGTGTGCAGTAGTCTCTAAGTCTTGACTAACGATAACTCCAAAGTCATTATATATCTGGACGACAGGTTGCTCAGTGTTATTCATCGTGTATGTATCTGTGCCTTGATGACCGATTTGCGTCACGACATACTTGGAAGTATTTATCGGCAACTGCCAAGTTTGAGACCATTCAGATAACTTCTTCAGGTCATTTTGAAGTTCTAAGCTATCACTCTTACATCGTATCGTTTTCCATATCTTGACATCGTCAGCATATAGCAAGACTGATGATGATAGGAGACAAGGAAGATCATTTACATACAAGAGGAATAGCACTGGCCCCAAAACTGTACGCTGGGGCACTACACTAAGCACAGTTTCCCAGCTAGATAATTTTGAGTTCACCCTTACTCTTTGTTGACGCCTAACTAAGAAGTCTTTTGCCCACATCAATAAATTGCTTCCAATCTCGACTTTTCTTAACTTATATAACAGCCGGTTGTGCGGAACTTTGTCAAAAGCTTTACTGAAATACATGAAGGCGACGTCTACAGGTAGCTTTTGGTCCTTAAGAGCGCACCAGCTTTCACGAGCCACTAATAAGTTAGTGAGACAAGAATAACCTATTCTGAAGCCGTGCTGCTTCTCCGAGAGGATCCGATTTTTATCGAGATACTTAAACAGCTCCTTCCGAATAATCTTTTCTAAGATTTTAACAACCACACTAGTTAGGCTAACGGGGCGGTACTTCTCAGGTTTATGTTTCGTACCTGTTTTGAAGACAGGACTTACTATGGCGTTTTTCCAGTCTTTCGGTAAACGAGCCTGCGTAACGGATAGGTTAAAGCATGTACTTAGTGGGCTTGCAACGAAGTTAGATAATTCCTTCAGTAGCCTAGGATGTAATTCATCGGGCCTCGTGGATTTACCTATGTCAAGCTTATTTAGCAGACCAAAGACATCGAGTTCTTTAATGGTCACGCTATCCAGTGTATGTATGGGGGATCTGTATACGCTGACGGGAAGGGCGCTTCTATGGTATATTCGTTGCTAAAGTAGTTCGAGAACACTTGAGCCTTACCAAAGTCGTCCTCCACTAATGATGAAGCAGTACTGTCTCCCCATAGAGCAGGAATATTTCCTTTTCTCCTTGATCTTTGGTTCATATAGGAATACAAGCGTTTAGGACATTCTATGGATTCCTTAACAAGTTTTCCCTCGTACAATTTTCTAGACTTATGGAGGGTCGAGGCACAAGTATCCTGAGCCTCTCGATACTGAGATTTTGACTCATCAGTCCCCAGTAACCTAAATCTATCCCACATTTTCATTTTCTTACGAAGAAGGATACGGACCCCCCTACTGAACCATGGTGGTGAGATTTTCGGCCTCTTTGGTATAGTCCAAGGGATGTGAGGTGTGGTAACTTTTAAGTATGAATTTCGAAATGCGTCCCAGGCCGTTTCAATGGAGGACTCTGGGTCTATTGTCCAATCTATTAACGATGCTGAGTGCATGATGTCTGGTATGTTTGCTTTCCAGACGTTGGGTCTGGACTGAATTGACGCGTGCTCGTGACTGGCAGTTATATGGAAGTCGAAAGTTATAACTGCGGGGTCACTTTTATCTAGGGGTGGCATATGATGGAGGTTCGCAACATCATCCTCATAGTGAGTCAGTATAAGATCTAATAAGGATGATTCAGTGTCCGGATCGTACCTTGTCGCTTCTTTCACACGTTGCACTAGAGCACATGTGATAACCCCATCAACTAGTTCCAGCTCGAAAGAATTCCCCGACGATTTAGTTCGCAGATTTTCCCAGTCTACCATAGGTGCATTGAAGTCCCCTAGGATTAGATATCGACCACTTTGGGACCAAGTATTGAGACTGCTTAACAGGATCTCATTTGCCTCACACTTGGACTGCGATAGAACAAACCAATCAGCAGCTCTTGTCCCTTGCATTTTAAGCGAAGACTAACAAATTCACACGTCCCACTCTCATGAGATACACTATCGATAACCTAAGTTGTAGTTCTTTTTCGGCTTCCTGTCTTTTAACACGGTCTGTCAACGTTAGGTCCTTTCAGATAAGGACTCCTGAAATATTTAATTTGTGTCAATTTTGTAAAATTAGGTCACGTTCGTTCGAAGAGCCCAATACGACTTTAAGCAGTCTGGAATGATTTGGTTTCGAGTCCGCTAGACTTCCTAGTCTGTATACCTTTAGCAGTGTGACGCCTGTCATATTTTGAAGCATAAGTTGATTAAGCAGCTGCCTAATCAGTACAATGTTATGTTCAAAACGAGCTTTAGGTTCAGAGCTCTCACTCTCCTTGATCCTAAGAAAAATAGCTGATCTGTCGCTATGATCAGCTTTCGATCTTTCAACTACTTTTACAGGGACAGGATTCCTTTCTATATCCCTACTTTTCTTCCTTACAACCTTTACTCATTTGTCAACGGTTCTGGTAGAAGCAATAACAAATGCGTCAAACTTAGTGTTGGATTTCGGGGGGTTGTCGACGACTTGAGAGGTCGGGTTATGTTTACCGTTTGAAACCGATCGAGCCTTGCGATTGCGGCTTCTAGGTGTTTTCTGTCGGATCCCATCTGAGAGACGAGGAACAGAAGAACCTATTTCTCTTGAGCTTTTGTTTAAGGCAGGCCATTTCGGAGACTGCTTTTCTTTCTTTGACAGGCGTGAGTCATCTATCATCAGAATAACCTTAGTTTCCTTCACGTTGATTTGCGTGTCGACAGATAAAGTACTGTTTGACGCGTTCCGACTATGCTTGCTAAAACACTTCTTAACAGCATCAACCAGTGAGATGGCCTCGGTACGTACGACAAAACTAATTGAAAGAACAGTAAAAGCGGTACTCCAGTCGAATAATTTAACTGAAATAAATTCAATTAAAGTGAAAACGGTAATCTTGATACATAATAAACGATCAAAACAAACAAATTTACTCTGCGAGGAAAAATATCACTGTCCTTTTTAAATAGCGCGGGTCTTCAGGAATAATATATCACCATTTGTTGTTTGAGATCTTTCTGTTGGTTGCAAGTCGTGCATCGCGGTTACCAACAGGTATGAATCCCCTTTTTTTAAGGAATCTGAAAAATAGTGGCACACATCGCATTATTCCACTTAATTTGTGTAACTATTTTCATTGATTATAAATATTGCCAACGATATGTCAGATGGATTTTTGCTCATCATGTACGCAAGTTACTTATTGCTTTTTGAGTTCCTCGTAGTATATTTTTTCATTCATTTATCTTCTCAACCACCTACTAATATAAAATTGTAGTTGTCTTTTGGAACCTTTTTCTACACTAACATGTATTCAATTGTCAGGATATAAAGATACACCTGTAGCGTGGCGTCGAGTTGAGATTGACTATGAACACCACTACCAAGAAACGCGTGCCAAATGACTCCATAAAATCCCCCGGAAGCCAAATATCAGAAGGCAGTCAATGGACCAAGTCGAGATATATTTGCTGGCGATCTCGTAGTATCCAAAGGATACCGAGATCGTGCCAAGATACAAGCTTGGTTACAGAACGTAACCGAATTTACGCGAAGTCACAATCAAAGTGTGAAAATAATGGATGTTCTTAGCACAGTTAAACAAAAGCATATTAAAACAGTCACTGGTACAATTGGTTAGAATAATATTTGTTTTTAATAAACCAATCGTGTTCTCGTGATAAAAGTGAGTCACTACGCACCTTTTTCATGGATTATCTTTCAAACATTAACTACGCTTAATCGTGGATCATTGTAAACACTTAGTAAGAAGATACCGACAAAAGACGAGTCGTGCAATTGTTCTTAGCCTGTCTACAAATACTTTTCACGAAAATCTTCATTTATTTTTTTTCCTTCGAGTCTATCATAATTTTTTGATAGATTTACCTTTTTTCCTTGCTAATATAAGGTGAAAGGGTTTGTTATGGCTATACAATTACAGATTTTTAATTCTTAGTACATATGCATGCATTTTTGTTTTTTTTTTATCGGCCTGTTATCACATACTTCCGTTAACTTTGGATATTTATATTATACTGTAAACTTTTGCCGATGACTCAAAAGTGGTTTATTCATTTTCTTCACGCACCGAAGTGCGTTATATTTCAGCAGTAATCCAAGAAGAAATAATAATTTGTAGGAATGGACTTTCATGGAATCCGTCACTGAATGTTGACAAAAGTGAATTTATTCACATCTGCAGATGCCCTAACCTAAATCTGGCTACACCCAAACATATAATGGGACCTCTCATCACTGCTCGTGACTTGGGTTCGAGATATAGTAACAGTCTGAACTCTCCTGAGCACATTGCACATCAAGTACCCAAAGTTAGAAAGCTCATTGGACTCATATTGATAAACTTCATTAATATCAAATCGAGATTATTACCATATAAAAAATTTCTCCTACCCATTCTTGAATATTGTATTCTGATTTACGGTAATTGCAGGCATAGTGACCTGATTAAAACTGAATTTGTTCAAAGGAGGTTCACTCAAGGTGTTTTAATGTATTCCAACATCAATAATTATCAAAAAAGATGTCAAAAACTCAAAATAACCTCTCAAACGTATTAAATTAAGCCGTGTCTTTATCTACCAGCTTATAAACGTTATTTCTTATTCTTCGGCATCCACCCCTTTGCGCGCCATGACATCGCACAACCTACTTAAACGTAGGTGTCATTACCAGGGTTTGATTTGATAATTTCGAATAAATTGAGCATTGGGTTCATTGTTATAAATAAAAATTATATATTTGTAATATCACAATGAGTAGAAAATTGGATTTTCTGACGTTTCGTGACTTAGTGTAAGTCACTTCTCCAGAGAATAAATAACCAAATTAAAATTAATCCAAGTTTAAATAGTACAACGGAGCAATGCAAGAATAATATTTGATCAATCAAAAAAGAGGTTTGAACAAGTTGATGTCATGTCATTTCTGTCAAGGTGATTCATAAGTGATATGTATGTAAATTTGTGTGTGCATGTATGTGTGCATTGTTTAAGAATGAAAACTTGTGTGACCTTTATGGTAAGAAAGGATAGAGAATGAATTTGTAATATGATAGTGTGAAATTGTCAATACGATCAGACTGAGTGGCTAGGATAGATGGTCCAAGTAGGATGTATAGTAAGACCTTCCTTTCTATTGAGAGAAGTAGGATTAAGCATTATATGGAACGCCTCAGCTACCCTCCTTTCTTTGTAGTTAGAAAAGCCTTTTTGCAGTATTTTGATATTTTTAAAATCGATTTGGTGGTTGTTGAAAATGGCATGAACTGCTATTGCCGATTTAATTTGAAGTTGTTTCAATTCTACAGGATTGTTAGGAGGTTTCTTTGTGTACCTAATATGTTCTTTAGCTCTAGTCAAGATTTCGCGGGATGACTCTCCAATATAATAGGCATCACAATCGATACAACCTAATTTGTAGACGCAGTTCTGTGTGGACATGAAAGGGATTTTGTCTTTCAGGCGAACTAAAGTATTACGTAGTGTGTCCGTTGTTTTGTAATACACTTTGATTTTGTGATGTTTTAAGATTTTTTGGATTTCTTCTGTTGTGCCATGACGGTATGTTAGAACTACAGTACCAATCCATGGCATTTCATTCGAATCATTATTAGAATGTAATAAACTGTTTTGTTTTAATATGCTTCTAATAATATTCATAGGAAAATTATTAAATTGTAAGATGCTAACTATATTCATTTGTTCTTTTTGTTTGTCTTCTTCTGATGTGATGATCTTGTTAGCTCTTCTAAAAAGATTTAAGGCTAGCGAGATCTTTGTACTGAAAGGATGTGCTGAATGGAAGTCAATATAACGATTTGTATGTGTCGGTTTTAGGTAAATGGTAAGGTTTAGACTTCCATTTGGATTTCTTTTTACTAAGCAATCCAAGAATGGTAGCTCACCATGTACATTTTCATTTTCATTCCTGAATTTGCTGTGCGGTGAAAGTGTATTTATTCGTTTTGAAAAAGATCTTAGATGAATCTTTTTTATAATAACAAATGTATCATCTACATATCTAAGCCAAATTCGTGGTATAATGTTGTGGGCAAAGATATTTGATTCTATGTATGCCATAAAAATGTTGGCTACAATCGGGGACACGGGGGATCCCATCGCTACACCGTTAGTTTGTTTGAATAACATACCGTTAAAAGTAAATAGTGTTGAATTTAAGCACAGTTTTAAGGATTTTATGATTAGACTGATGCTCAACGGACATCTTTCAGGAGGAGTATTGTCGTTCTCAAGTAAACCACTTATGAATTCTAAGCATTTGTCAATGGGAACACTTGTGTATAAAGAAACGACATCAGAGCTTACCATAATTTCATTCTTCTCGATGATTAATCCGGATAATTTTGATTTAAAGTCATATGTGTCTTTAATTATATTATGTAAGTTGAGTTGTAGTGGTTTAAACGTACGCGAAAATTATTTCGTTATTCTCTACTCAACCAAGTGGCACAGACTACCAGTGAACCTGTGGTGGCATTAAGCCATAATCACACGATCCTCAAAGCTGAACATGATACAACTGTGAAAATAGATATTTGTAGAACTATGGTCTACTATTATATTAGTACTGCTCTAATAATAGATCTAATCCTAAAATTGTACATTTGTCATGATGTAATTGTCTAATTTATAAGATCTTACGTGGAAGTCACATCATCGTCTACACCAACTCACTGTATTATAACAATTACCAATACATGATGGAAAACAAGCATAGGCTAGAGAAAGAACAATATATTTAATATTAATAAAAGATATAAGGTAACATTCCTCAGGGATCACGCCTGCGAGGCCGAGCCGTGCCATCCGATCAACTCGACTTAATTCACTGTTCCCGCTTTCTCGGCTCGGCCTCGCAGGCGTGATCCCTGCGGAATGTCACCTTATATCTTTTATCAATATTAAATATATTGTTCTTTCTCTAGCTTATTCTTGTTCTTCATCATGTATTGATAATTGCTATGATACAATGAGTTGGTGTAGACGATGATGTGACTTCCACGTAAGATCTTGTATATTAGGCAGTTATATCATGACAAATGTACAATTTTAAGATTAGGTCTATTACTAGAGCAGTACTCATAACGAAGTAGACAATATTTCTACAAACCTCCGTTGCAGTGACACCACGATCCGGTTCAGAAGTTTCCTTGGTGATTTTTTTAATAAAGTGGATTGTGTCATCTATTGAATATAAATGTGTTTAATAATGACTTATACAAACAAGGTCCATCATCTATCTAATTGACTAAAAAGAAAAGTAGAATCTTGGAAATGTTTCTCGTTGATTTTATTTTGGTTTCTTTCTGTTAATCTTAATATCTTAAGTCGGCTTATGTTCATAATCCTGACTATTATTGTTATTGTTAATATGATCGAACTCCGCCTGTAAGGGCCGAACCACCAAAGTTCGGTTGGAACAACGGACTGACGAACCCAAAATTTATTCGATTAGACCAGACCAAGTTCCTCTGTATAGCTCACAACGCGTCTTTGAGATACTCGTATTATATTATATCAAAACACAAACAATGTGCTGAATATAAACGGTTCTAATTAAGAAAACAGAACAAATTACATCAAAAATACAAAATACCTCAAACGGTACAGCCTGTGCTATACAGTCAGAAGTTTCTCTAACGCAAAGTAGTGCGCTAAACAATGAAAGAGACGGTTAATACTAAAGGGTTTGATACCTGAGAATCAATACAAATATTCCCAATAAGATGGGATCAAATATCTATCTGCAGGGATTGCAGCAGTTCTCCCAAGCAGACAGTCAGAAGGTTAACTGTCACAACTGAACCACGCCGTGACCTTGAGCTTAGTCAAACACAACCTTACTGTCAATGGTCCGGCAACATGCAATAGGAAATTAGGTAACAAAATTAAGTCGTTAATCAAAATCATATAGTAAAGGCTCGAACGGAGAAGACTGAAGAACGAAAGACATGGTTAAACGAGATCGAAAGAAAGGTTGGAATACACAAAAGGGAGAAGGAACAAATAAATGGAAATACTGTTCAACAAAGAAGCTGCAGAGGGATTTTCACTGTTCTCTTTCCGTTACACCGGCCCCCAAAATCCCTCCAGCTACGCAAAGACACCTTAGAATACATTTCTGTCATGGCTCTCCTTACTAACTGCTCTATATCAATGGGAAGCACAGGACTTACAACAGTACGCCTGTACATCCATATACCTAAGCTAGTCCGCTACTATTCGGCATCTTTCAAAAATAAAAGCATTCGCAGCTTCCCTATATGTTCCCCTTATCACTAGGCCTAGTAACTTACTATAAAGCAAAACGTCCGGTGGCTTGCGCCTGAGTATGTTCCACGAATAGACAGAAGGACTGCAACCTGCCTCAGTCAGGATCTTCATCATAAAGTCGGTAAGAACTCTACCAGCAAGGTATAATCGGAAAACAGAATAAGGCAACGCATAACCTTCATAAATTGGAACTGTGTGGGTCACACCGTCAGATAAGTCCAACACTACACCAGTTGTACGACTAGATGTACACAGTGACAACACTGTTCGAATAGCAACACATATACCTGGTGAATTGAAAGCTTCAAACATGATCCTTGTCATCTCACGGTTTGCCTTCCGGTTCAATGAAACTTCTCTCCACAACACTCGACGTCTCTCTGTTGCCACTCGCAACTCTTCATAGAACGTGTGGTACCATATCTTCTCCATATCACCCCACTTAGTCGCAACACCATGTTCAATTTGGTACTTCAGTGTCAGAATGACACGTTTCGATCGAGCATCGTCCCCCACATGACTGTCCTTTTCATCCATTCCCACAATCACTATCTGATGTCTAGTTCTTCCATTAATAGAGGCTAATACGGCTCTGGGAGCATCATTTCCGGTGAGGCCAGCTTTACACATACCAGACTCATTGCCAATAACAGGGACAGCAATGTCTTCTTCAGACATTCCTCTAGGTAAAGGAACAATATTGTAACTTTCATCGAGGTAGGCATCGCGCTCTACTGTGCTACTTACGTTTGAATTAATCACAGATAATGATTTATCAGAGGGACAGTCGCCAGCAAACTCACAGTTATACTTTACAGGGAAATCAATTTGAGAAATATAATTTACAATTCTTTCCCCCTGTTTGTTGCGACCAGCTGGTTGTCCATCAAAGGTACTTAGCTCTACTTTTGGAAGTTCAAGACTTACACTTAGAGATTCCAAGTTCACTTCCTTCTTCTTAGTTCTTTGATAATCTAGCAGCTTTGACATTTCTTGAGACTTTATTCTAAGGTCATGAGAAGGACTTACGAACCTGTGAACGTGCTCCTTTTCTCTGTCATCACAGTTAGAAACAGAAGATAACTTGCTACACGTGCTTTCGTTCAGCCTTAACGACCCATACTTTCTCTCAAAGCATAGTAGTTGTTTCCTTTGCCTATCTTTCAAGTCTCTCATTTCTAATAATTGTCTTTCTTTTAACTCTGCTAAGGTGATCCTAGAGCTGACTTTGCTATGTCTACTTACTAAACTAACATTAGAGCCATGACATGAAAATGCATCTAATTTGACTTGCCGTACCTCTGGAGGTGCGTCCGATTGCATTTCGCAGTGGCCCAGTGCCAAGTTTTCGTTGACCTTATTGCGCTTTTCAGGCATTCCAGAATTTGTCTCTTGAATTCACTGTCCGTTTGAGAACTGTAAGGGCCGAACCACCAAAGTTCGGTTGGAACAACGGACTGACGAACCCAAAATTTATTCGATTAGACCAGACCAAGTTCCTCTGTATAGCTCACAACGCGTCTTTGAGATACTCGTATTATATTATATCAAAACACAAACAATGTGCTGAATATAAACGGTTCTAATTAAGAAAACAGAACAAATTACATCAAAAATACAAAATACCTCAAACGGTACAGCCTGTGCTATACAGTCAGAAGTTTCTCTAACGCAAAGTAGTGCGCTAAACAATGAAAGAGACGGTTAATACTAAAGGGTTTGATACCTGAGAATCAATACAAATATTCCCAATAAGATGGGATCAAATATCTATCTGCAGGGATTGCAGCAGTTCTCCCAAGCAGACAGTCAGAAGGTTAACTGTCACAACTGAACCACGCCGTGACCTTGAGCTTAGTCAAACACAACCTTACTGTCAATGGTCCGGCAACATGCAATAGGAAATTAGGTAACAAAATTAAGTCGTTAATCAAAATCATATAGTAAAGGCTCGAACGGAGAAGACTGAAGAACGAAAGACATGGTTAAACAAGATCGAAACAAAGGTTGGAATACACAAAAGGGAGAAGTAACAAATAAATGAAAATACTGTTCAACAAAGAAGCTTCAGAGGGATTTTCACTGTTCTTTTTCCGTTACACCGCCTGTAGCTCTTATAGGGTTACTGCCGGTCCCAAGCCCGGGTAAAGAGAAGGGTTGGGCATGGGGTTAGCGTCCCCATCCTGTAGAAAACTAACTCGCTAAAAAAACGCTTACCAGAAAAAAATAATCCAAACCATTTTAACTCTGCCCTGGGAGTTAGAAGGTCTTCATTTAGAAGAATTATGACGCTTCATGGTGAAAGCCGAGTTCCTTCGGAAGCCACGAGGCCGATGCCCCTTTTAACAACCAGAGCAAAAATTTTTATAGTTACGTGGAACGTTCGAACAATGTGGGAAACCGGGAAGACCAGTCAAATAGCAATGGAAATGAGGAGATACAACTTAGCAGTACTGGGAATCAGCGAAACCCACTGAACCCAAGCTGGACAGAAAAGGCTGGCTACGGAAGAGATGCTGCTATACTCCGGTCACATAGAGGACAATGCTCCACACACTCCGGGAGTCGCTCTTATGCTGTCCAAAGTAGTACGAAATGCACTTGTGGGATGGGAATCTCACGGGTCCAGAATCATCAAAGCATCATTCAAGACAAAGAAGGAGGGGATCTTAATGAATATTATCCAATGTTATGCACCCACAAATGATAGCAACGACGACATTAAAGATCAGTTCTACGAGCGGCTGCAGTCAGTCATTGAGAAATGCTCAAGAAAGGACCTAACTATTCTGATGGGAGATCTAAATGCCAAAGTCGGAATAGACAACACTGGATATGAAGATATTATGGGACGACATGGACTGGGAGAAAGAAACGAAAATGGAGAAAAATTTGCAAATCTATGTGCATTCAACAAATTGGTCATAGGAAGCACAATATTTCCACACAAGCGTATACACAAGGCTACATGGATCTCACCGGACCACAATACAGAGAACCAAATAGATCATATTTGCATCAACAAAAAAATTCCGAAGGACAATAGAAGATGTGAGAACCAGGAGAGGCGCTGACGTAGCTTCAGATCACCACCTAGTTGTGGCCAATTAAAAAATGAAGCTAAAAAAGAACTGGAAAAGTGGACGAACAGCACTACAAAGGTTCAATACAGTCTTCCTTCGAGATACTGACAAACTCAATGAATTCAAGATTGCTCTCAACAACAGGTTCCAAATCTTACAAGATCTACGGAAGGAAAAAGAAACTAGTATGGAGGACAACTGGAAAGGCATCAAGGAAGCATTAACTTTAACGTGTCAAGAGGTTCTTGGTCTAAAGAAATACCATCATAAGGAGTGGATCTCTGCAGAAACACTGGACAAGATCAAAGAAAGGAAGAACGAGAAGGCAGCAATAAACAACAGCCGAACACGAGCAGAGAAAGCCCAAGCACAAGCTGAATACATAGAAGCAAACAAACAAGTGAAGAGGAGCATTAGAGCCGACAAGAAGTAATACGTGGAAGAACTAGCAACGACGGTAGAAAAAGCTACTGGAGAAGGAAATATGAAACAGCTTTACGATACAACGAAGAAACTATCAGGGAAATACAGTAAACCAGAGAGGCCGGTCAAAAACAAAGAAGGCAAGCCAATCACCGAAATTCAACAACAGCGCAACAGATGGGTAGAATACTTCGAGGAACTTCTGAATAGGCCGGCTCCAATGAATCCACCGGACATCGAAGCGGCACACACAGATCTTCCCATAGACATCAACCCACCAACGAAGGAAGAAATCAGAATGGCCATCAGACAAATCAAGAACTGGAAAGCAGCAGGACCCGACAACATACCAGCTAAAGCACTGAAGTCAAACATCGAAGTAACTACAAACATGCTTTATCTTCTATCCAAAAAGATTTGGGAGGAGGAACAAGTGCCGATGGACTGGAAAGAAGGGCACCTCGTCAAGATTCCAAAGAAAGGAGATCTGAGCAAATGTGAAAACTATAGAGGCATTACACTGCTGTCAATACCAGGGAAAGTCTTCAACAGAGTGTTGCTGAACCGGATGAGAGATGCAGTAGACGCCCAACTTCGAGATCAACAAGCTGGATTCCGTAAGGACCGGTCGTGCACAGACCAAATTGCAACACTACGGATCATCGTCGAACAATCAGTTGAGTGGAACTCATCACTATACATCAACTTCATTGATTATGAAAAAGCATTCGACAGTGTAGATAAGAGGACATTATGGAAACTTCTTCGACACTACGGAGTTCCTGAGAAGATTGCTAACATTATCCGGAACTCATACGACGTACTACAGTGCAAAGTCGTGCATGGAAGACAGCTGACAGATGCATTCCAAGTAAGGACCGGAGTCAGACAAGGCTTTCTACTCTCTCCCTTCCTCTTTCTTCTCGTGGTCGACTGGATCATGAAGACCTCAACATCTGAAGGAAAACACGGAATTCAATGGACAGCTCGAAATCAATTAGACGATTTGGACTTTGCAGATGACCTAGACCTCCTATCACGTACACACGAACAGATGCAGACAAAGACAGCCAGTGTAGCAGTAGTCTATGCATCAGTAAGCATCAGCATACACAAAGGGAAAACCGAAGTCCCCAAATTCAAAAGGGAGAACAGCGATCCAATCACTCTTGATGGCGAAACTCTGGAAGATGTAGAATCCTTCACATACCTGGGAAGCATCATCGATTAACAAGGAGGTTCAGATGCAGACGTAAAGGCAAGGATTGGCAAAGCAAGGACAGCATTCCTACAATTAAAGAACATATGGAACTCAAAACAACTTTCAACCAATATCAAAGTGAGAATCTTCAATACCAACGTCAAGGCAGTTCTACTGTATGGAGCTGAAACTTGGAGAACTACAACAACCACCATCAAGAAAGTACAAGTATTTATAAATAGCTGTCTACGCAAGATACTCAACATCCATTGGCCGGATACCATCACCAATAGCCTTCTGTGAAAGAGAACAAACCAACTTCCAGCTGAAGAAGAAATTAGGAAAAGACGATGGAAATGGATAGGACATACATTACGCAAATCGTCAAACTGAATCACGAGGCAAGCCCTAACTTGGAATCCTGAAGGGAAGCGAAAAAGAGGAAGGCCAAATAACACATTGCGTCGGATAATAGAAGCAGATATGAAAACGATGAATTACAACTGGACGGAGCTAGAAAGTATTGCCCGGGACAGGGTTGGATGTAGATTGCTGGTGAGCGGCCTATGCTCCTTCACGAGGAGTAACAGGCGTAAGTAAGTAATTAATATGATCGGTTCCTTCACGTTATATATTCTTTTCATTCCTTCTTTTCTTCCTAAAAATACTATGTTCCTAAACATCCAAAGTCTATAAATACAAACAAATGGCCTTAAGTCACACTAAAATGAACTTTTCAGATTAATTTTACCTTCACTACTTATTTCGTGCCTCTTGGTAGTCCTCGTGTTATTGATAGAAACCAGACAAGTAGTGAATAGGTCTTTATTTCGATCTTCGCGCAGTCACAGTGGAGCGTGTGATTGTTTGTTCAGACAAACAAAGCCTCTTTACATTCAATATAAGATAATAGGAAATATAACGCCTATACAAAATAAGGAAGTGAATGAATACTTGAACAATACTGTTTTGGCATATGCTTGGTTGTTTGGGGTCAACTCATAACCAACCAACCTATGCTGTTACACATATACATAAAACACAAAAATCGATTTATGATTATCCCTTGGAATTATTTGTGACTTTCATAGCATCAATCGGAGTCGATATCGCACAAAATTTTACACTAATATCAAATTTTACTCTGCATCCTACTACATAAATTTACGTGTATTTACCCAAGTGAATTAAAAAATTCAAAAAATAATGACTTATGCTAGCGGTTGACATTCATAAACTCTTATTACCATGATTGGACATTTTCACTAGGTCTTCATTTTCTTTTCCCTCTTTTTTTCTTCTACAGTAATAATAATCGTAGGTATCCAAAGTTTGTAATTAAGACAATATCTTGAGTTACACTTAAAAAATTTCATTTCTAAGATTTATTTTCTCTTCACTACATACATAAGACTCATAAGTATCAATATTTAATTACACTTTGCAATTAATTGTGACTTTCATAGCATCACTTTAAACTATTACTGCGCTGACACTTATCCTACCTACACATATCACCGCAATAATAAGTTATTTTCTCTTAACCCTTTCTTTTTTCGTCATATATCTTCTTCAAATGACTCATTAAGAGTAGGGGAAAAACATCCATTATATTCCACTAATAAACACAATTAATACAGGCAATAAGGTTGATCTTAGTTTGGCTTTCATGGCTTTGTTCAAAAGTGTAAAAGAGCATATACTAAGGTTTATTGAAGCCTTAGACATACGAGAATTCAAAGCTCTTCTGTGTATTCAAAAACAGTTTGTGCCCACCTTAAACATAACTTAGTAATATTATCCAAAGTGATGAGGTTTCAAGTTGTTTTCGCATTATTTCATTATTATCCTCGTCTCCTCTTACCCTACATTTCTAGTCTAGTTGACCTTTTATTTTTATATATGTTCTTAACAAGCATATCTGTGGCCAGATTGTTCGAAATGTATTGCATTAATATACTACATAGTTCTGATGATCTTTGTATTCTTATTACGCCATCGAAACTTGTCAACGGGACTGATTGCTTTGTACATGATTGACCCTATCAAAAGATTTCGAGAAGTCAAGGTATTTGACATCGACCTTCCTCTTGCGATCAAAAATGGTTGTCTATCTGCCCACCACCGTCAACACGTTGTTTATACATGAGTGAGCTTTTCTGAAACCATGCTGTTGGGTTGAATAGAAGTATACAGAAAGTACGTAGTCGCTCACACCATCGTATATAGGGACTCCATAATTTTTGAGGGTATTGAGAGAAGTTCAATCTGCCCGTAGCTTGAAGGTTGACCTCCTTTGAGAAATGGCACAATATAAACCAGTTTCTAATTGCATGGTGGTCTACCTTGGCTTGGCGAATGTAGGAAGATCGCGCTAAGCGGTGTTGAGTATGGAACATTAGTTAACAAAGATGAAAGACAAAACTGATCATCAAATGAACTTTGCTGTTTCATTACCAAAGACATAGTTTCGCACAAAAATAACAAGAGACAAGCGAAAAAAATAAACCGGTTTATAAAACTAATCACCAAGATATTGGTCATTGGATATCCCGTCGTCCTATCGTTTTACGCGCGTTTCAGTTTCGGTTACGGTGAGGATGCAGCTGACAAGATATGTTAAGATTTGTGAAACCGAGGATGACCAACCAATCGAGGTGCCTCTGGAAGATGATGACACTCTTTTACTATCAACATTAACCGCCCAGTTCCCAGATTGTACAGGCCTTAAGTACAGGTCTGGCGACTCAGGATGCTATCGTGGTGTTCGTCTTTTGGATGACCGTTTATTTCCTCCCGCTGATGGACAGTGGCATGAAAACACATTTTGTTGTGTCTTTCCAAAATGTAAGTTGCTTTGATGATAGTTTACCACGAATACCAGTGTGAGACTACTTATCACTGACAACCACAATAGGTTGCCAATCTCCTCATTCTAGAGAAAGTAGTTGAGGAGGCTGCACTTGAAATGTTTGGGAAAATAAGGGAAACCTCCTTAAATTTCAAGCTATTCTGCGGGGATCTATCTTCCCTCGATTTTCCAGTGATTATGAAGGGATCACCTACATTCCCATTAGTCTGGTCCCCCCCAAATTTTCCTGTTTTTGTACGATTTTTCGGAATACCCCGAAATCACAATTTCCCAAGAGCCCGGAGATTAGGTGTTGTTTAGAAACTGCATCAGTTTTTCGAGCTATTGTGTTTACGATAGCATAACCATTAGCTCTCTCGTTGCTCACATAGGTTATGCTATGTACGTCAACTAAATTATACTTACTACAACTTTTATAGATCTTGGCAAAATGTCCTATGTATTCTCAAACCTGTTTTTCAAGCTCGCTATATCTAGCAAACAATGGGACTTAGTTTGGAAAAATGACTGGGATTTAAACTGGCATACCAAGTTACCGACATCTACTTATTCCCTCCGGAGGCTCCTTATCATCAAAGATGTTAAAAGCGCCGTCATACATTGTGTGGTTTTTGGTTATTACAACACAGTAAGACTATCCGTCTAACCGTTGCTATCCAAGAGCTACCGGCCGGGAAGTACCTTGGATGCTCCCTATTGTCGTCGAATTCCGTGTAGAAACCTCTATTTGGCATCAAAGATAGTAAGTCGTGGTCCTGTTGGTTTCCTGTTTGGTGTGTATCTCCGCTGGCATTTGGTTGATTATGTGTTGAAGTCCCTTCTTTTAGCGTCTTAGGAGTGGTCTGGATTTCGTGGACACTTCCAGCTGACATTGTTGTTAAAATGCTGTGAAAGATAGAATTGTCAACCGTTTACACAGTTTCTTATACTCTGAGACCCGGGAGTATCCATCAGAACCACACATCATTACTTGGTGCACTTTTGGGTCTCGTATGTCACCAAACTCTCAGCTCCTAATAATTTTAAAGAACTGACTGGCACATCGTTAAATTCAGTGACAGTCTTTAGGTACCTCACGTCTTATTATTTATTAAAGACTGAATACGTCGAAAACCTCAAAATATTCCGTCCAACTCAGCTTATCGTGATGGGCTTGCCAAACTCGACCTGTATCGTTCATTTAAATATCTTAGATATTTCATGTAAAGCACTGGTTTTCTGACGTAGTGCGTGTCAGGTACTACAGTACTGCGTTTCCGTTTTCTTTCAGATCTAACGGCGAGAACCTCAAATATTTATTCATTAACGTACGTCTGTTATTCCTGGAAAGAATTTAGAATAAAGATTCTTACAAATTAATCATTAAATAATTGAGGTACTACCTTAGTCTTGTAAGTAATTTGTATTGGTCTCATGCTACAGTGAAGCTGCCAGAGCGATATGAAACTGCTATAAACCACGTTTGTTCGGCAGTTTTGTTGTCAGTTAAAGCGTTACTCCAGATACCGATTAGTTCATGTACTGTTATGGGAGGTCCAAGTAAAAATATAAGTAGTAATTATACTAACTGGTAGTTGGCAGGATTGGTTTTAATCATTAAAAACAGTGCTGTAAATTTCAGATACTCTTAAATAATTGTTTAAAGTGTGAACTTATGGAGGTGTTAGATAACCGTGATATAATTCTGTTATCCATTTGTTCGTAATGTTCATTAATGTCCTAAATGGTCTAAAATAATTTCATTGCAGAAACAGATATTGCTAACGTTTCTGTAATTGATATCTTTTCTGCCTACAACACAAGTGATCTGACCTTTTCGACTAAATGTGTAAAGCAAACTTTAAAACTGGTCATTTGGTTATCAATATGTGCATATAATAATGCTACAAGAACCTTAAGACCAACGTTGGGACTTCAATTGGCATGAATAAGAAGACATATTTATGTTAAATTATTTTGTTTCTAGGGGTGCAATAACATTGTACATGATTCCCAATGTTTTTTTTCAAGGTTCCAAGAGAAAAGCCGATGAAGATTCGTTAGATTCCAAAATGAAGCAAAAACGTTTTGATAAAAAAACATGTACGGATTTGATAGTGCTAAACTTGCCTTGGCGGGCCGATGAAGAGACTTTACGTGACTACTTTAGCCAATATGGTGACCTTGTGATGATCCAGGTGGGTTTTAAGTTTTTCTTAAATTGCATTCCGAAAGTGTTGGTTAAAGCTTAAACCCACAAACAGCCTAAGAAACATGAAACTTCTAATGTTAAAGGTACTGTAGCTCTTAACAACGTTTAGAACTAACAGAACGTTAGTAGTCTTGATCAAAAATGTAAGCAGCTAGTTAAGTAGTGCATTTCTAATAATACCATCCTGAGCATCTGAGTCGTCAGTTCAGCAAAGACTACACTTATGGTGCCAATGGTGATTTTAATATAATACTTAGTTCTAAAAGCGTACCATTTCCTCATTTGAAATTACAAAAGCATAAGAACTCTCGAGAATTGTGAATTAAAGATGTTGGGTATCGATATTTCTGTATTAGTACGCTGCATATAGTCTATTCAACTTGTAGTTTGTTGGTCTGCGTATTATAATCAAACGTAAACCAGCACCACCCTACCAAGTTAGGAAATGTATCAATCTCGTGTGCCATTTTGTCTCATGAATTAAACTGTTTAGAAGTGACTTTAGTATGTACCGTTACTTTGATAGTGCTTAAGAATCAGCAACTAAATCGCATGTTAGCACCCCCCTTCACCTTCAGTCTGGGTCAGTCAGTCATCAACAACGTAGAACTTCGTACGTACGTATATCAGTTCGAGTTGCCATACCGCATGACCACAGAGATACAATTGTTGATTCAAATCTCATAGTGGTAGATGTAGTAAAAGTATAAGTAATAATCAGAAAGATTAGGGTCTGAAGATGTTATTCAAGAAGTGTAATTTAGTGAAATAAATTTGGAAAGAGAAATAAAAGGGACATGAAAAATTCAGATTAGAATTTGGAATAACAAAAAGAGCAGATGCACTCTCAGTCTGGGTACTTATCAATTTGCATTATTACGTTGTGATTAGTTACTGAAAGTCGTCTGTCATTGTGATATGGTTGACAGTGATTTCATTTTTCTTTGTATGATAAGTTTACCATCTTTGTGGTATTTGACTTCTTTTTTCTACTACTTATACAACCCCAGCGTCAGATAACTTTGCGTTTCATTGGTACAGTCACGTTTTCGTGATTAGTTCCGTATTTGACTTACGAGAAGAAAGTGCAGGTAAGGTAAAATTAATGGCACATGTAACTTGACCACAAACTTGGTGATGTCATATAACCGCATGAACCAAATTAATTTCGCCTTTTTGCTAATGACCATATTTTTTAAAAGTCGAGTGAGACTTTTCTCCCTTAAAAGTTTTGATTCTACCAAGTTCTGTTCTCTAATCTTGGACAGTTACAATCCCTGGCAATTTTGGTAGACTGTAACATGAGGTATTGACACTGAGACTAACGACTAGCACTGGCGATTTAAGGTCCTAATTTCCGCTGTTATCCATTACTACACTGCCCACCTCCACTTGTCGTCTAACGACAAAAGGCAGTAAAATTCGTAGTAAAGTTGAGTATAGAAGACATCATATTTCTTAGTTGCTTTAAAATTAGAAGCTACGAATTGAAAGACTGTTCTAATCAAAGAAAATTCATAGGTCAGTTTATGTTTAAAAAATGTTAGTCATTGATGGAACAATTATTTTTGTAGGCTTTCATGTGCACCACAAACTTTATTATTTTTTACAGATCAAGCGAGACCCAGTAACCCAACAAAGTAAAGGATATGGGTTTATCCGCTTCGCTGACTATACAGCACAAGTTATGTGTTTAGCTGAACGACATACCATTGAAAATCGACAGTGCGATGTTCGCATTCCAATATCAAAGGTAACAATTTTTTCATTCCTCGAAGCTTTTTTGAATTGTGACATTTAGTGTAGAAAGATAGGTCGGTGGCTAAGTGGTTGCCTATTACAGTTTTGAGACTTTGGTGTTCCCACTACTTTCTACACAAATCGTGATCTAAATCCAGGTACATGAACTTGTAATAAGTTACGACTTCAATAGAAAAATGTTTTTTTTAAATCCAGTACCTCGGGCTTTGATGGAACAATGATTTGTTTTCATGTGCACACTTGATGCTATAAGTTGTTAAAACGCCTGGGAATGAAAGCTAATTCCTACAATTACCAGGCTTTTTTACTTGTACTTTTATTTACTTGGTGTCCACTGAGCGCACGGAATTCACTCATTAACTTCATGATATGTTGTGTTCGGGCATTTAATATCCTGACGCAATAAAAATTCAGATTGATTTGAGGTGATTTTCGTTCAGTTGACTTTTAGTGCATTTTAATTGTGTCAATTAAATCAGTGTGATTTTTCGTTCATGTGGCATTCGTTTGGTTCAATATTCTCTTGTTTATAATCACTAAATGTAATCGGTATGTAAGTTAATCTTCCTTAACCTCTAGCAAATAAATTTTCCTCACAAGATGTGTTTTGAAGTAACTGTGGTCAGGGAAGATGTGAACTGTTTTATCCTGGTATCAAAACGTAGTAAAGACATCACTTTTTTTCATCAGTATTGTCGCTACAGAAACTGGTTTTTAATTAAAATTATTATTACCGGTGACTTTTTGTATAACTGTTCTTCACTTTATTTTACTATTATTAGTCATTTTTTGTCGATTAACCAAATGTTTCTTGATGGTCTTAACTCATCAAGCCTAATTGTCGTGCCTTAATTCTTGCCTGGTGTTTGATCTGCGAACACTTAAAACATACAATCTTGATAGTTTGCTGACTAGGTTTCAGTTATATCTTATTTTATATAAATTGGTTGTATAATGTAGTGGGTTGTGATGTTTTTCATTGATGATTTGATTTAATAAAAGATTAATGCTTTCTTAATGGTTATTTAGATGGAGGGTGACCGTCAAGAAGTTTCCCGAAAAGTTCACATTGGAAGATTAACAGAAGATATTAGTCCCGAAGCTCTCCGTCAGCATTTCTCCCAATATGGAAGAGTAAGTACATATTTCCGAAAAATCTTCTTAACTTTTCGTTCCATGAACATAAAGTATTATTGATTGTCCCAGTTATTTTTCTAAAACGTTCCAAATTCTAATCTGAATTCTTCATGTCCTTTATTTTCTTTCCAAATTTATTTCACTAAATTATACTCCTTGAATAACATCTTCAAGCCCTAATGTTTCCGATTACTGCTTATGCTCTTACTACCTCTACCACTACAGAATTTGAGTTGACAACTGCATCTCTGTGCTAATGTGGTGTGGCGACTCGAACTGATATACGTACGTACGAAGTTCTTCGTTGTTACTGACTGACTGACTCTAAAACGATCAAATGCCACAAACAAGCTTTCCATATGTATAATATATATACTTACGCCTGTTACTCCTCGTGTAGAAGCATAGGCCACTCACCAGCACTCGCCACCCAACCTTGTCTTAGACAGTCTTTTACAGTTGCTATTCATTCTTTTGATGTCTGCTGTCAGTTTCCAACTCTATGTGTTCCTTGTTCTTCCTCTATTCGGATTCCCTTCAGCATTCCAAGTTAGGGCTTGCCTCGTGATGCAGTATGATGGTTTGCGTAATGTATGTCTTATCTATTTCCATCGTCTTTTCCTAATATCCTCTTGAGCTGGAAGGTGGTTTGTTTTCTCCCAGAGAAGGCTGTTACTGATGGTATCCGGTTAATGGATGTTGAATATCTTCAGTAGACAATAATTTATAAATACTTGTACGTTATTGATGATGGTTGTAGTAGTTCTTGAAGTTTCAGCTCCGTACAGTAGAACTGTGTTGACGTTCGTATTGAAGAGTCTAACTTTGATATTGGTTTAAAGTTGTTATATATATATATATATATATATATATATATATATATATATATATATATCTGGTTCCATCTGTTAAATCCAAAAACCTAGAACTTTACACAAGTATACTAATTTCTCAAAACTCCATAATTCAGCTGACAGTGAAGGGTATCTGACCGACTTAAACCTTGTGTCTTGACTCACTACTTAGGAGAGTACGTTGTGACGCCAAGTAGTTGGTCTAAACATTGTTGTCGCCTATCTTACACTAATATAAATTGTCTGTGTTTTGACGTAATTTTCGAATCTTTCTAAATAATTTATTTTAGGTATCTGATGTCTTCATACCCAAACCCTTTCGATCGTTCGCCTTTATTACGTTCGATGATCCTGAGGTTGCAGCTTCTTTGTTAGGCAAGGACCAAGAGATCCAAGGTATTCGTATAAGCGTTGGTTCTGCAGTCCCCAAGCTCCCTCCTTCTGCCCGTCAAAGTAACAATAATAATCAACGAATTCCAGTTACCTCGATGCAAGCTGCTCTTCAGTCAACAATGATGGGAACTCAACAATGGGGTGGTAAGCACTTACTGTTTTTTAGATTTCGTTTATCGCCTTATAAATTTCTGTAGGAAACGTAACTGGTATTCATGTGTTACGGAGTTTGTGGAACATTTGCTTTTTTCATATGATGTTTCTCTGCTTAATTTTATAACACCCCAAAAATTAGACAAAAATTTATCAAAGCGTGTCTTGTATCTCACTTAATAAACCCAGATTAACAGTAGCTTTGTGGTTGAGTCACTCGAATTTCAGCTATCTTATCTTAGATCCAAACCTAGCTTTATGTGCTTTGCTTTGATCAAACGGGTAGCTTTACTAGCTATCACATATGAAGCTGTTTCTGGTAAAGGATTTGCAGTATTATTGTTGAGCTTTACTGTTATCGATTGGGCTTTGATATGATATCCGAACTCTAAAATGTGGGACGTTAGCCTTTTGGTATACATTATTAAAGTCAGTTGCCAGTAATCACATGGAGTGCTTCTATCTTTCTGTACGTCAGTTGGTAGGTTTTCTGATTTTTATGTACACTAGTACTAAATGACGAAACTTCACCAATAAACTTTATCACACAGGTAATTATTAATCAGTGTATTTTCCTTTATGTATTGATCAACACTCTAAGCGTTTGTAACCAGTTACTATTTGTTAAATTCAGTTGTAAATTACTCACTTTTACTTGATAGCTTGGCCACCAGCTTATGGAGGTATGGTTCAAAATAACCGATATGGAGGGCAACATTCTTCCGGTAAAGGTGGAAGTCGAAACGGATCAATGGGGGGAATGAATCCAGCAGCTGCAGCAGCTGCTGCTGTTTTAGCAGCAGAATATACTCGTGTTCATCATGTGAGTACTTTCAGTATTAGAATTTACTACTGTGTAAAACTTTGCAGTTGACTATGTGATCTAGGTATATAAGTCTTTTTTAAGTCTTAAAAGCCGGTTTATCTCTAAGTAACACACATTTGTTGCACAATTAGTACATATGACTATACGAAGTGAGTGATTCAAGTATCTTTTTGTATGCAAAAAAACAATAGTAGAATTCCATGCTTCCTTGTAATCACAACCAACTGAATGGAAATCAACAGTTTGGCAAATATTAAGATTAGTTTCTAACTACAAGTATCTTTAATAAAACTAAAGCGTCACCGTGGTAGTTATAGTGAGTGATCTTTACTCAATGATAGGGCTTGGCCCAGTTTCGGAGACTTGTTGGATAGCAGCAATCTTTATTTACGTATCCAAAAACTGGTCTCAGTTTTCAAAATTTTCAGACCAAAGCTATTCAGCAATGGTTTGATTGTGAAACACGCTATTAAACACTGTACAAATTATTTTTCTGTCCTTGTTGCGTACCTAGTTCATTTTTCCTGTTTATTCTATAAAAAAATATTTAGCAGACGTAAAATTCCTATGTAGTGAATTATATCTATTGCTATTGTGTAATTATCATGTACTTAGCTTATGGTATTTTCTTATTGTCATAATTATAGGCTTCCACCTAAATTACTAACTGTCGATGTATGTTTTACTTTCCCGGAATTACCTTTGATCAGTTATATACCTAATGCCCAGTTTGTATCACGTGTGACTTCGCTGTACACCAATTATGATTTCTTATTTGTGGTACTTTAGTGTCAGTTATTATGGCAAGCCCATGTACATTATTCTAACTTTCGAACATCCCATTTTATTCATCCTACTCGAGCCATACCTTGACATCGTTATTTATTCTCTTATCAATCTAGACTGTTTTAACATGAGCGTATATGTGTTTATTTATTTATTTCAACACATAGATATTGGTATAAGGAAGCACCAAATACATATGCGCCACACAGATCTCATTCGGTATGTGTGAGAGCTGTGATACTGCCCGGGTGCCCAAACCGAAGCAGGTGGTTTTCTTAGGGGGCCACTCCCCGGCGTATATGTGTGTGCCCTTCTTATCCCATTAATCACATGTCTGTAGCTTATTTTTGTCTGACTATAAATATTGAGTAACGCTTGACTAAAATGGAGTTGGCTTCCCAGCCATCTTCCCTGTGCGTCATTTTGCTCTGTTCTATTACATTCACTTTACATACGAAATATATGTATTCAAAGGCCATTCTCGTTAATCGACTTATCTAAATTCCGTTATTGACTAACGTGATTTAATTCGACGATGATATACGGGGAAAGGCGATAACAGTCATTCGTACGATCTCATTGGAGTCAGATCCATGGGCCACTAAAGTAAGTCGCGGTTGTATAATTTTGCAATCCTATGAGATTTTGAGTCTGAAGAACGGAAGGTATATCGGCTTGTGTTGTCTTCTGGCTGACTATTGAGGATAAAGGTTGGTTGTGCTATTGTTTAGAAGAAGTCATCGATCAGTCCATAATAAGAAAGCTTGTAGTTAGTGATCCTATTTGATGGCATATTATGGAGTTGAAGGTTATGACACCCTATTGTAATTGCTAAGCACTACATTCACTTATATTTTGTTATGCACAGATAATAGACAATGTTATTGTCTTCGCAGAATCTATTGTTTCATCACTGTCATCAAGTCAGTTCTGAGTTTGTCCGTTTCATACGCTTTCTTTTAGGTTGAGCATTTTTATTATTGATTTTAATATAGTTTTTGTTGAGTTACCTGGTGAATTAAACAAATTGGCTGTAAGATTTATATTTCACTCAATCAAATATACTATATCTTATATATATATATACTTTTACATACCTAATCTCTATATAGACCCGAAACTCAGGTACCCCAGCAAATGGGCAACCAGAATACAATGGAGTATCTGTGGATTCTTCAAATTCTGCTGCACTTGCTACGATGAATATCTTAAGTAATCCGAATGTAGTAGCCGCCATTGTTAGCGCTGCCACTGGAGCTGGCAATACTTCTATGCTTGGCAATTCTGGTGTAAGTTTGTTTGCAGATCATTCTAACAAATTGACAACACACCAACCTAGATATACTTTCGCCAATATTGGACTGCATAATTCTCATGCAAGTACATTTCACATTGTTAAAATTTTACTTAGGCGATAATATCTTTTTCTATTTTAATCAGAGATGTGACTGAGTTACCAAGCGAAATTTTAAATAATTAGCTTTAAACCACACTTCGTATGTGTGTACTGATGATACTAAACCAAAGTCTTAAGCTGAAACCTGTTGGTCGAAAGCTGAGTGCTAGGACCGTAAGTCATTACTCAGCTACCATTTAAGGAAATTGTTTTTGGTCATAGACCTACACTTTTGAGAACCATTCATTCATAAAACAGATTTAACTTACCATCAGTATTTGTTTGTTCATCATACAGTAGGTGTAATGAAGTTTTCTCATTCGTTTTTTGAATACTCTACTTAAATTTGATATAATAATCATTACTGATTGTAACACAGATTATCGTATAAGTAGGTCGAAATTAAGTACGCAGATTTTTGTAAAATAAATAAAATACCAGAACATTCAAGTTACTGAAGTTTTTTAGTCCTAAATACTCTAGTGCCCATAGACAGGGACATTTGTATTGATAGTATCTGAAAAGAAAAACATCAACATATTAAACCTGCGTGTGCAGAAAAATCTAATTAGAATTCAGATTTTACTAATGGTTAAATTGTGTCACTGGTTTATTCGAAGGTTTGTTTTTACTTCACATCCTCCAATTATCACATTTAGTCCGTATTTTTCCATAATATGAAGGCTTCGCTTTTTGTGGTCTCATCATTTTGCGACCATACATATTTCCAAATATTAAAATCCATATTAAATTATGTTGATTTCTCATTTTCACTTTTCTGTAATGTTGATATGATACTGTTTAAGTGTTTAGACCCGAGTAGATGAGTTCTAACCCCACTGACCAGAAATTAAGAATGAAGTGCTTTTATCACTCAGTTGATGTCTTTTTTTGAAGAAAGTTTTCAAATTTACTCAACCTAAAATTTCGTCTTAATATTAATTCCTACAGATTGCAAAACATTTACTAACCAAGTATCGAGTCAGTCCTTCTTGTCTTGCCATATATCAAACTGTGTAACTCATTATAATGGTTTTAATGGACCTTATATTTATAATTAGCTATTCACGTAGTTCTCAATTAGTACACTTGAAAAACTAGTACACTTTTATTTAATTTACTCCTTATTATCATTTCGAAATGTAATTAAGAGCGATTCTGAAACGTCTTGAATTTTTGAAGGGTTTGTCGGTGCATTGCTTTTGTTGTAAAATACTCGTTTGATCTCTTAGCAGGGAATAGTGTACATTGATGTAATCATATTTTATGCTAAATCTCACTAATCAGGAAAGTAGCAGCATCGAAAAGTACACTGTAAAAAGAATAAACTTATAATTGTTTTGTAACGTTGGGTTTTGCCTATCTCTACTAGACATTAAGTAGCTAACCATATAATAAACTGACAAAAATGTCTAACAACCATCTAGGGACCAGACCAAGAAGGGGCATCGGCCTTGTGACTTCCGAAGAATTTCGGTTTTCATCATTTTCTTTTTCAAATCCCAGGGCAGAATTTAATTTGTTCTGGTTGGCTTTCTTTTAGAAAGGTTGTTTTCTACAGGATAGGGATGCTGGCCCCACATATATTTGGTTACCCCCTTGTACCAAAATTTATGTGTTCAAATAAATTAATGTTGCCCCTCCCCCACAATTCACCGGTCCTGCTCTACCCAGACTCGAGACCGTCAGTAGCCTTATAACAGCAGCTACAGGCAGAGTTGTGCAGACTGATGTTCAGATCTTATTCGATCCTTCCCAAAATCCGCGTTCTCAGATCGTCATCAAATGGAATTTCAGTGTCTAGAAAATGTAAGATCAATTTACTACTAAATTAAATTGATCCAGCAAACATTACTGATAAGTCTTCTAATTTAACGCTTGAATATGTTCCCTAGGCTCTTGTAGTAACCCCCAGGTAGGTCGACACGTCAACCTGAACATAAAACAAAAGTCACGAAATATGGAAAGAACGCTTTACTCCAAGTTTAGTTCATGTACAGCAAATCTAGGGTATCTATAGAATGTTAGATAACTTTGAGCCGCTGGAAAGTTCTGGAACCCATCTAAACACATTACGATTGGTAATTTTTAAAAAAACCTTTACTGATGGTGATTGAATGATATGTTTCTTTTAATTGTCACTCGCCACTGATTATCATGTCTGTTTTTTATTGAATCGAAAGTTACAAATTATATCTGAAATAAATCATGATTAATCATTAAGTAAATGTTATCACGCTCATTAAAGTATCTAACTTTTACTTCATGAGTTTTCCACATTTACTCTTTTTTGACAACCTGTATTTCCTGTTTGGATTTCTTTTTAGGCACTTTAACACGATGAATGAATTCAAGGTATTCAGTACTCAACTCCTGCATTTCTTACTTCCTCCTTAATTTTCGCTCCATCGAGGCTTTGTTTTGTATCACGTGCCCGAACTAAATGGGTTATGTCAATTTGTTGGTAAAATAATTGGTTTTTCATTATTCAAGCAACTGTGTATTTGTTTGGGTCAGTGTGTTGTAAATCAGTGATTCCTCCAGGGTAGATGTACTTCTATTGTACGACTGTTAGTAGTGAGTCAAAAGCTTGCGTGTTTCTTTGCATATTGGTATTAATCGTGCGATGTTATTCGTGTACTCTGTATGAAAGTTATGGTACATAATGCTGAGATATGAGTGATCAGACTGTTTGACATGTGAATTCTGGTGCTACCACGTTTCAGAAACCTGTGCTGTGTGATGAAAGCATCAGAAAATATGTTGGTACATTTGGGTGTTTCTAAAACAGGCTATCAGAGTTCATTCAATATGACGGGTGTATTCCTGAAGACTTCCTGTGTAGGTAATAGGATTTTTGTAAATACTGTCTAAGAGTAATATATCTACCTTCCAACGATAATCATTAAAGGTAACAAATAGTGGGTTGCCATAAAGCAAAAAGTTATGAAGTAGATATTTGGTTATTGAAGAAATAAGTTACGGTTATTGATAATGACTGCTAACTTTTGTCATTAAACTGACTGGATTGCCTGGTCCCTTTTTCTGGTTGATTAGTTGACGAGTGTATTGATTCAAGTCCTTACACTTTCGTTCGTCTGTTTAAATTTTGATTTTGTTCTGTTTGCTGCGTATATGATTTGCGGATATATTTGTGAAATTGTTTCTGCTACTTACTGCTTAGATAGTTAGTGAATGATTGTTTATAACTCAAATCCTATAAGTCACTTTAACTGACTACTTAATAATTTGACACAGAAATTCGTATGGCGCATGATGCCTAGTGGCTGGTCGGATGTTGATTTATCTAACGTTTAGTAAACACTTTATATTTATATCAAAATCTTCCGATTCGTTCATTCTGTGGACAATCTATACATCATATTTCCCTTCCATTTCTATACTTAAAGTTGAAACTTCATCACTTCTAATTTCGTGATTATTTCCAATTGTGCTTTCTTGCAAGCTTAGTTAACCATAGTCAACTTTAAAATTCAAAATTTGACTTGCTATAAATGCTCCAAAAATTTGTTTTCCTCTTGTAAATGGGCAGTTGTTACACATATGTTTTGCTCTGTATATTGTTATTGGAAACTTAGTAACTCGTGACAGTGGACGTAAATTTCTATATAATGTAGTTCAGGTATCGTAATAATTGTAGTACTTTCTTACCCCTGTTTTTTTTACAAATGTGCAATAATCCTGGACATTCATCACCTGGTCATTTCTTTTTATGATTGTTCCACACATCTGTTCCACTAACTATTAACATACAAACCTAATATATAATAAATGCGCAATAGACAAAGTTCTTCGCTGATAAATGCATGTTTCAAGTCAGTCGCTTGAAATCGAACAAAATTGGTGGCTACATGTATAGAGCTGCTAAGTTAAGTAAGTAGCATAGTGCTTTATTTGGGCACTCATTCGCTTTGTCGATTCTAGTGCGTAATCAAGAGTCCTTTTTTCTCCTATATGTAAGGCTGTTTGTCTCCGTAACAATATGTTTTTTCATAAATATAGGCTCATTGGCTCTCATATTTTTTTCTAGATCTCGAAGTATTATTAGTCTTTTTTAGGGCGTTCATTCGGGTTGTTGATTCTGAAGCATACCAGTTCCATCTAGAAATGAAGATTTACTGTCCCAACGTTAGGAGCAAATTGAAACGGTTTAAACATTCGAATTTGAATGTAAGGATTACTTCTTAAGAATGAATACTTGTCAATTACTTCATTTTTCTGGAACAATAGCAGTAATATTTATAGCCATCGAGCTCACATTCTATAAAGTTTTAGTTCATGTGTGAAAAAGCTGAAATTTAGGTCGTAGTTGAGGTTTTTTTCAAAAGTACCTTGTGTGTGTTGTTTTGATCCCACATTAAAGCTGCTGTCTGTCCCATCGCTATTTCTCTTAATATCGTCAATCTACTTTGTAATCATTTTGTCTTCCGTAGAAAAAAATTTCAAGTAAGTAGTTGACTACACAGGAGTCATTCCAACCATGAACGCAGGCGATTTACGCTGGAATCGATATACCCTAGAAACTGTCGAGTGATAAGATCTTTTACTTCAGTTGTACAACATATTAAGTAGTCACGATGAGAGTTTATCACTGCGTATGACGACAGCCAACGTACTTCTCAGCAAGTTCGTCGTGCGTCATTTTGAGACATGAGTACTCCATCTCATTTAAACTGACAATCAATTGTATAGATCTCGGCTATAATTGTGGTCTCATGTATTTTCTGGTTCCCATTTGGCGGTTTTCAACATGGAGGACGTTCTCTCATTTTACTCTTAGTAACTGTGGAGACATCATCAAATCTGTCCTTAGCAATGTGGATTGGTGGTGAAGGTTAATTACGAATAAGATTTCATTCGAAACATCAGTCTCATAATCCGCATTACGAATTGAAATCGATGGTTTGGAAGATGGTTAGCTTGACACATCAAATATCGAAATTTCCAAGTTAGTCGAAACATTTGGTGCATTTGTGTTCAGCTTGCATTTTGTTGTCCAAATACTAAGCTAAACCGATGCTCAGTAAGTAGTACTGACGTAGTGTGTAATTTCTGAATCCAATGTGATATAAAGGCTGCTCTACATGACTGATAAACAATTGCTTCGAGTAATCCTTGTGTTCTATCAAATGGAATAAGACAGGATTACGAGTCTCCCCATCTTACTGGATGTAGTAAACAGTTCCATGTGTTGCTTATAATTTGTAATGCATCAAAAGTCATATGTATTAAATTCGGCATAAAATGTGCTGAGTTAAACAAAGTACATTTGTTTCTATGATGAAGTGTGAACGATTGTAGAGCTTATTGGTTATCAGTATAAAGTGGTTGCACAAGCTTCAGACGTATCAGAAATCCATATTGAGAAAGTGGCAAAAAGTTGACCGTCAGGAGTTTGTTATTAACTGTTCAAGGAGCGATAAAATCAGCTGTTTGACTGGAGGAACATTAAGCAAGAAAATCAATCTCTTTCCAGTTCTAAACGCCTCAAATGTTATCTTGGGTATAACAATTGATCATTATTTCGAAAATCAAGGATTTAACGTATATGGCTTTGTCGATTCTGAACCTACCCAAACTTTAAAAGCACCAAAATGAAAATAGAGGGCTTGTGACGGTACGTAAATATACAAAATAATTTGTACTGACCTCTTTGATTTTACTTGACACACTACCTGGAGGCACTCGACCACACATCTCTACTAGATTACGACGCGTAACGGCATGCTACACATTCCTTGCATCTACCAGCCACTTTTAATACGATTCTTCTCAACTTTCTGGAGACTTAAATGTATTCTCAGACTCATTTATCTCTGACTTATTATTTGACTCGGTTATCGCCTTGCGTTAAATTGGTCCTCGAAGTTAAGACAACTGTGAAGTTCCGCACCCAACGCAAATGTCAGTAAATATGGAGGACACGGCGGTCAATGAAAATGTCGTGCTTATTGTGTCGAATGTCTTCTTCGAAAGTGTTGGACGCCACGTGTAGCGAAAGTTTGTAAACTTTTCATAAACGCGACTGGTTGGATTGTGCGCACAATAGACAAAATGATGTGCTAAAACAAACAACAAAACAGATAACTAAGAAATATCTAGATCGGAGAAACTGGTAGCCCAGATATTCAAGCAGGCCACCAGAATCAGTGTTACAAATTCAGATTTGTGTAGTAAGGACAGAAGGCCTACAGCCTGTGTTATTCCTTTTCTAGTATGCTTCTGTGAGTGTCCAGTCTTCTCTTGAAAGAGTCAATTGAAGGTGTGGACACCACTTTATGCCACGGGTATTTTGTTCGTTCTTAGCTTTTCTACTCGCCTGCTATGTCCTCTGAGGTGTCCCGATCTAGTGGGAAGAAAAAGAGAGAATAAGTTAGGTCCGAAATCATGTCTGAATATTCTGTACGTCAATATTAGATCTCCCCTTAGTCTGCAATAGGACAGAGTAAAGAGGTTCAGTTTTTCAAGCCGCTCTTTATATAATAAACCCCGGAGTTCCGGAATTGCAGGCGTAGCTGCCCTCCGCACTTTTTCTAATATGTCTTACCTAAACACTTCTCAGCTCATCGGCATTTACATTAGACATGGTCTTTGAATATGACTGAAATGAGTGGCGTCTGACTGGTATCTGTCGGTGACCTAATACAAATCTCCATAGCTCTTTTTGTTACATATCCACGACCCTACAGATACCTCAGGAAGAGAAACTGCTTTTTTTAGAAGTCCATCAAGTCAGGGGATATAACTACTTTTATTACTGAATGTACCATTCCTTAAACAGATCATTTCTTATGGATCTTTGCCCATGACTTGCGGTTTGTGAAGCGATGCACAGTTTGCGAAGACTCGCCGATGACACATTCAGCGGTCTGAATGTCATGCCGTTTGCCGACGACAGATTGATCGCATTCCGGATAAAGGATCGCATATTCACTTCCAGATCACTGCTTACACTCTTGGTACCTCTACCACTGCGGGATTTGGATCGACAACTGCATCTCTTTGTTAAGGTGGTGTGGCAACTCGAACTGATGTACGTACGTACGAAGTTCTACGTTGTTACTGACTGACTGACTGAAGGGATGTCTTTAGCTAAGGGTGTATAGAGTTAAACTAATAAAGACGGAATCAAAGAAATACGGTGCGAATCATTTTGAGGGTTAATACACAGCATATAATCCTTCACAACATTCGTATTGAATATTTCACAGGTATTCGGAGTTTAAAGACGCTCCAACCAGTAACACCTAATAAAAATCGTACCCACCAAGTGAAATCAAAGGACAGAAGCTAGTAGGTTCGAAGATATATTTGATAGACTACCAATATATCGAGGATAGACTGATCTAGATTAACTAGCGACTGAAGGGGATGTTGAGCACGACGTTCCCACTCGTGATCTGATGCGGATGCATGACCGAGCGTCTTCAGCTAAGTGATTCCATTGAAACTAATGTGACACTCATCCAGTGTCGAAGACTTACAGAGCTATTTGTTTTGGAGATTTATTTATCGTTACAGATCACTTCTCCTAGTGGGTTAGTGATGATCCTAAGACGAGGCCAACCAGAAGTTTAAACTCAATGAGATTTGTCTTTGGTAAAAACTCTTTCCATAAGTTGCCATGTTTAGCAGCGTCTGGTTATCGTACTTTACTATAAGGGACCATAAAGTATAATATAGTAATAAAGAGGCAAAATACAATCAAAATTTCGTTTCATCATCAACTTCATCGTTTTTGTTCGTCTTTTCCAGTAATCAGGGAAAGGAAAAAACGGATTTGTAAGTGCATGTCGAATCACACTCATATGCGCGTAAAAACACAAAGCAGGCGAAAAAAAGGAAAATGATGTAATGTGCATACGACAGCGTATAGACGAATTTTACAAAAGACATCAGTTGACTGCGGTTGAGTGGAAACAGGTTTAACTGAACGCATTGCATTTGTAAGCCTGCTCTTGTAGGAGTTTAGATCTATATTCACTGAAGATGAAGAATCCACGAATTCTCCTGGAAGTCGAAGTGTCGTTCCATAAACGAGTTGAGCAGCGATGTATTCATTGTCAGCTTTCACTGCATTGCAGATATCCAGTAAGACGAGTGGAAGAGCGTCGGTCCACTGTGATACGTTTGCAGCTGATTGTGAAGCTCTTAGTTGTCGGTGAAAACGTTCTACCAACCCGTTTGCTTGTGGGTAGTAGGCAGTCGTTCGGAAGCAAGTGCTTCCTAATAGTGTGGTTAGACGATGGAAAAGTTCAGACTCAAACTGACGTGCGCGGTCTGTAGTGATGGTTGAAGAGCAGCCGAAGTTCGTTACCCATCGTTCGACGAAGGTGCGAACCACTGTTTCAGCAGTGATGTCCTTGATAGGTACTGTTCTGGCCATCGAGTGAAACGGACTACGCAGGTTAACAGATAAGAGTATCCATTCGAATCTGGTAAAGGTCCTACTGAATCTAGATGAAAGTGGTTGAAACGAGCATCAGGAGTCTTGGATGAACCTAAGGGACATTCGTTGTGTCTGATAACCTTAGATTTCTGGCAACTTACACAGGAGCGTGCCCACTCCCTCACGTCTTTATTCGTGCCAGACCAGTAAAACCATTCTGCTTTAAGCTTGATGGTTTCACGAACGCCTGGATGAGAAAGTTTGTGCAACGAATTGAAGGCGTTGCGTCGATAATGCTTTGGGACGATTGGGCGATCCCTACCTGTAGATGTGCCACAAAGTAAGGTTTCCTTACCTGTTCCCATCTGTTTGATGCGTAGTTTGAAAGTTGTAGACGATAACTCGTGCTGTAGATCAGTGTCTTCTTTTTGAAGCTGGGCGAGTTTAGGAAGGTTGATTCCTTGGAAACTGTTGAAGGAAGTTATGCGAGACGAAGCATCTGCGACTAGATTGTTTGCTCCAGAAATGTGTTGAATGTCTGAAGTAAACTGCGAAATGTAGTCTAGTTGTCGAGACTCACGAGGTGAGTACTTGTCAGGGGAAGAGCTTAAAGAAATGGTAAGTGGTTTATGGTCATTGAAATAAGTGAATTCACAGCCTTCGACAGTATGTTGAAAATGCCGTACAGCACAAAACATAGCTAGGAGTTCCCTACTGAAAGTGCTATAACTTGATCCAGTGTCTAGCAACCGTCTCGAGTACAATACCAATGGTTGCCAGGTGTGGCTAACACATTATTGTAAGATTCCTACGATTGCTGAGTCGAAAGCGTCAACTGCGATTCTAATGGGTGCTTGAGTGTCCTGATGTGCAGGCATCGTTGCTTTTGCGATAATTTCCTTAATTGTGGAAAATGCTTTTCGCGCGGTGTCTTCCAGATTGATGAACTTCGCATTTCCACGAAGTTGGTCGGTTATTGGCTTCATAAGTAATGCGCGTTTCGGTTTGAACCGTCTATAGAAACTTGCATGGTCGTTAAATGTGAGTAAATGCCTGACGGGTAATTCAGAATAGCCGCCACTTTGGTCCTAAGGGGTCGGATTCCTTGAGCATCTATAGTGTGTTCTAGGAAGTTTAATGAGTCGGTTCCGATTTAGCATTTCTGAACGTTTACAGTAATGCCATGTTTTTGTAGTCGTTTGAAAACAAGATCCAGATGCTTGAGATGTGATTCTCTGTCCGGTTCGTGAAGCCGGTCGTTAGAATTTACTGGAAGAACGCTAATTTCTTTGTCAGTATTGACGAGGTAGCAAACTTTCGTTACCACATCTGTGACGTATAACAAACGAATGAGTTCGCCGGCTACATTTGCCGTTGACGCTTGTCAGCTGGGAAGTTTCCCGAATTTTTCTTCATGTCGATCGATTTTGAGTTTGAAAAATTGCAGGTTCTTCTGCAATTTCGGGAAAATTTTCCGTACCTGTTATGATACCAGCACCAGTCGTGTTTATGCGTTTCTCGTGGTCTAGAGACACATCGCCCACATGAAGTACTTCTTCGCGGGGGGTGTGACCGTTTACAGTCCTTACGAAATATAAGATAACGTGTCAGCGTTCGACGTAGTTCCATAATGTCATCTGGTATCGCTTGAGGCTTTTCTTTGCCTGAAAACACCTCGATGTTAAATTATTTGGTGATTTCTAAGGTGCGATCGGCAGATGCAGCCAGCTCCTTTACGGTGTTATTTTGAAACGAAACCAGCACAGCATGCACTCATTGAAGAAGTTTAGATAAGAAAAGTTGTTTGAATAAGCCACCATTGAAATTTCTTTGGCAACCCACCTCTCTCAATCTTAGCAACATGTCTATCGCAAAACCGTGATGCAGGTCGATATTATTAAGGAGTTGGTTTAACATTTATCGATTGGTCAGATCTCGGTGTTTAAGGATAGATCGTTTAAGTGTTTTGTATGGTTCCAAAATATCACTAGTAAACATACTAGGTTTTACGTACATGTTGAATTCGCGTGGTAGTGCCTTGACTACCGCGAGGAATTCCCAAAAGGGGAATTAGTTAAAACGAAGGTGGGAACATAGTCTTTAACTTACATACTTTAGGTGTCTGTTGCGTCATGGCAAATATGAAATATGGGAATGGACGAGGAAAAAATATCCAAGAACCCGAAAAAATTAAAATAAACCAATGATTTATGAAATTCCAAAAAGGAACAGACTCACAGTTTACATTTTGGTGTGCCAGATCACGTTGGGCTCACCAATGAAGATGCCATAGGTATTCGGATTTTGACAACGCCTTAACCAGTAACACCTAATAAAAATCGTACCCACCAAGTGAAATCAAAAGACAGAAGCTAGTAGGTTCGAGGATATATTTGATAGACTACCAATATATCGAGGATAGACTGATCTAGATTAACTAGCGACTGAAGGGGATGTTGAGCACGACGTTCCCACTCGTGATCTGATGCGGATGCATGACCGAGCGTCTTCAGCTAGGTGAGTCCATTGAAACTAATGTGACACTCATCCAGTGTCGAAGACTTACAGAGCTATTTGTTTTGGGGATTTATTCACCGCCCCAATATATTTAGCTGGCTAATGATAAACCAACATTATAAAATCTTCAATAACAGAGAGTTGTCACGTTTCCCAGTCAGGAGTTGTGTTTCGTGCTCCAACAAGAATAAAGAGCACAAGGAAACGAACAATTAAAGAGTATTTACAGTAGTTCATAATTCAT